GCGACCCCAGCGTACCCGGTGAGCGCTGCGGCAGAAGGCGGTCCGCTGCCGGGTGCTCTGGGCCGGCTGCAGCTGGTGGGAGGCGGCGGGCGGCGCCGCGTCGTACCGGTACTCGCAGCCGCAGGGCGACAGCAGCAGGCGGTCCCCCCCCGCGTAGTGCACCTCCGCCGAGTCGTCCGCGTACAGCACCATCAGCCGCTCCGCCATGGCCGCGGCGGCGCAGCGTGGGCTGCAGGCGGCACCAGGAACTGGCCAGGCCCCAGCCCACGGTTGCCGCCTCCGCCGGGCGGGAAGAGAGGGATGGGGCGTGGCGCCGAGCTCACCGGCCACCCAGCGGGGCGCGGCCGGGTCGCTGCGGTCTCCTGCCTGCAGGGCAGCAGGGGAAGCGTGAACCGGTTTTACGCACGTCTGTAGAACAGCTGGGTGGGAATACACTTCCATCTTGTTAGAGTTTGTTATTACCTGCTGGAAACACAAGTATCTTTTTGTTGCTCCAGAGATGAAGATTAGCAGTACAAAGGCCGAGATTATAGATAGAAACCTATTTACCTGTATAGAATCACACAGCTAGGTTGGAAGAGACCTTTAAGATCATCAGGTCCAGCCATTACCCCAGACTGCCAAGTCCACCATGTCACTGAGGGTCTAAGAGTTTGTGAACACTTCCAGGGACCGTGGACTCCAGCACTGCCCTGGGCAGCCTGTCTGTGAAGAAATTTTTGCTAATATCCAACCTAAACCTCCCCTGGTGCAGCTTGAGGCTGTTTCCTCTTGTCCTATCACTTGTTGTAGAGCGCCATAAGGTCCTCCGTGAGCCATCTCTCCCCTCAGCCATTCCCCATCACACTTGTGCTGCAGGACCTTCACCAGCTTTGTTGCCCTTGTCTGGACCCACTTCAGCACCCCAATGTCTCTCTTGTAGTGAGGGGCCCAGAACGGAACACAGAATTCAAGGTGCAGCCTCACCAGTGCCCAGTACAGGGGTATGATCACTGCCCTGGACCTGCTGGCCACACTATTGCTGATACAGACCAGGATGCTGTTGGCCTTCTTGGCTGCCTGGGCACAAGCTGGGTCATGTTCAGCTCTGAGTCACCACGTCCAGGCCCTTTTCTGCCGGGACCTCTACCTGTGCTTTAAGATAGACCTTGTTCAGCAAGTGTCCTGACACAGAGCAGGATTACCTGCAGCACAGCAGCGGCAGCACCAGTGCATTCCTTCCTCCCCAGGTAGCACACCAGCTACAGTACAAGAGCTGTGGGTGTCTCCCCACAGGATCACCTCTGGAAAACAAGGAGGCCAATGGCCAATCTGCCACATGTCCCGAAGACAGATTATATTTAAGTAACTGTCTGGTCACTGCTTCTGGGTATTTATGCATTTGCAGGGCAGGGAAATCTCACAGGTACCCGTGTACTCAGAACTGGGTTGCAGAAGCCCTAGTTGAATGGACTGAAATATTAACTTACCAAAGGCCATTTTAAAAATCATGCCTAACTGCATTCAGTACAGATCTCCATTCTTTCTTAGCAAAGCAGAGAGCAGATCAACACCCAGTGAAGTGGCTACAGACAGCTATGCATCAGTCAGTCTGCTTCTGTTTGCAATACCCTTTTAAACTACTATTATCCTGCATTGTCCTTGCCTGAAGCAAGTTTCAAAGTAAGTATCAGGATTACAGATCCTTCATTGCTCTTTATTATTTATGGACAATGCATTGTGTGTCACGAGCAACTTCACTGCTGTGGCCAGAACCCTCAGCACAGGAACTGTGGCAGTAGGTCACACATGTGGCAAATAACCAGTTCACAAAACAGTGCACTGCTTTTTCCCTGACTTCTGGCCAGAGTATCATTTTGTCTTGCTGCATCAGCTAGTGGGGTTCACAGGTATAAAGTGGGCGATTAGAACTACAATGCAGATGGGGGAAGCTGCAAACTTGAGCTGCCAATACCAAAGGGAAGTCAGGACATAGTAAGAAAGTACTGTTCCAGAGAGAAATAAAAGCAACTGTTACAAACCAGACTGTCACAAACAGTGCCATAATGGATTATTCTATTTAAACAGAAAATAAAATCCCAGATATGCGTAATTTGTGACACAGGACATAGCTGAGCTAGTCTTGCTTGTTTCTGTAATGCTACAATTACTGAACCCAACATTCAAAAACCCAGGGGCCAGACGTTTTCCTAAAAAAAAAAAAACCCAAAAAAACACAAAACCAAACCCCCCCAAAACCCCAAGCCCCAAATAAACATAAAACCCCCACACCAAATCAAAACCAAATCAAAACAAAAAAACCCAACGAAAACCCAAAAGATTAGCAGATTTGAAAGGAAACTACCAAGAAAAAGTTGACTCAGTATTTAAATATGTAACTCTTGCTCAAAAGCAGACTGCATGAAAAGCAGCAAGTTTGAAATGACTTCAAGCAGTGTGATTTTCAAATACTAAACATTTTTGTTAAATCACAAATAATTTGTCTGGAATAGCACATACTGTTTTCTAATGTGTGAAGCTTGGTCATGTGCTTGAATGTAAAGGCAAAGTCTGTTTCTTTTCAGAACCAGTGCTAAAGTTAGCTTCACTTCTCTCCCAAAGTTTGCTTTCCATGCTTCTGTACCTTCACTGGTTTACCATTATGTCATAAAGAAATCCTTTTAAGTGTTATTTATCTGCAAGGTATTGTTCAGAAACTTGCAGATGAGAAACGTACACACTGCACTTGAAAATTCGGGTGAAATCATCTTTTAACCTCTTAAGACTCGTCTCTGTCATGCACAGAACTACTGGCAGTTAAAAGCAGGCAGAAGAGCAGGAAATGGTGATTATGATGATGCAAAACCTGCTGCTGGCTTTGCTCTCTCACATCTCATTCCACCATCAATAATTTGTTTTAAGAGTCCTGTGAGGCTTAAGACAAGTAAGGTTGTTAAGTGTTTAAGGCCAAGATTATCCCATCTTCCTTATGCAGTAGGGCAGAGTTAAAACCAATGTCCTTAAAAACTCTTCCAAAGTTCCTATGTGCAGAGACCACCACCATCGCCACTGCTTTGAACAGAAGCGTCACTTTATGTCACAAGTCAGCACTGCTGGTGGAAGGCAAATCTTATGTTGCAAACTTTGAACCAAATTGCTTCATCCTTCCAATTCCTAGTCCCCAACATTTTTGTACAGGATGACTTGCCCTATTTCTTAACTACAGGTAAGACACACTGTCTCCACAAGCTGACAGGGTATACAACTGGAGTCCGACAGCTACATTACAGACAAAAAGACACTATGAAAGATACAAAACTAAAACACAAAATGGAGTCCCTTGAAGACACCATGAGTTTACTATAATGGATATATGAATACCTGTTCCTTGGGTCCGACAGCTACATTACAGACAAAAAGACACTACGAAAGATACAAAACTAAAACACAAAATGGAGTCCCTTGAAGACACCATGAGTTTACTGTAATGGATATATGAATACCTGTTCCTTGGGACTTCAAGATTTGTGTAAGTATGTTTTCCACAAGACATCTGCCTGTAAAGTCAGTGGAAGTCTGATCTGCATTTGGATTCAAATTTTTGTATGAAAAACATGCTAAACATTTGAGAATGTGTGTGTGAAAAGAATCTAATTTTCACTTTTCTAGATTCTGGATTTTGTTCTAGAAACTCTGAAATGCTAATATAGCTCTTATGACCATATTGCTCTTTGATAAATTTTATTTTTCCAATGAGTATTAAAAGATATTACTCTCTGCAACTGTCTAAAGAAAAATAGGAGCTTTAGGTAAAGGGGAGATAGAAAAAGGACAAAGAGTACCTTTTTTATTTTTAAGCAAAAAATGTAGTGAAATTATACCAAAGGAAACAAAGCAGGTTAAGTTTTATTTTTTTCAAAACCCCAACCTAAATAAGTATGTTAAATGAACAGAAAGAAAAGAGTCAGTGCTCACTCTTAGCAGATGCACAAGTTATTTAATCAAACAAGTAACAGTGAAATATTACCAGAATTATTTACATGCATATTTACAACATGTGTTCTTTATAGTTGCTAACTTTGGGGATTTTTTTTTATTTTTTTATTATTTTTTTTTGGTAACGGATTCTACTCAATCTAACCAGTAACAGATAACAGGAAACAGTACAACTGAGTTTGGCAACAACAATAACAGAGTATCCTAGGAAAGGTAACACGATTATATGGGGTCAAAAGAAGAGCAGTTGGCTTTAGCATGTTGACGTTAATGAAATACATGAATTTACTCCAACTACAAAATTAAACTACATAAAATTAGAAGAATAAAGTAAGTTAGAAGAGTTACCGGGTCAGACATGTTAGATACATTGAAAAGAAAACCAAAACTCTATATTGAGCACTGCACAAACTCTTGAGAAGCATGGGTTAAAACATAACTACATTTGTATGCTCTTGAATAACACCGCAAATTAAAGGCTAGTTTTTGCTTGTAGAAGTTGAAAATAAGCTTATCTAAACCAAAGACCTTGAAAGCACCCAACTTCCAAAATACTGCTTGCTTTCTCACCTGTCAACATAGAATGTTTTTGTAACAGGGGAGAAAAAAAAAGCCAAGCCAAAAAGATCTGGACCTTGTCCGTACAGGTTTTGGAAAAAAAAAAAAAAAAAAAGGAAATAAAAAAACCCCCAAAATTCCCACAAAACAAAACCTACACAAAAAACACCTCACTTCTCATGGCTGTAATCTACAGGGGAAAAAATGAAACAAAAAAACTCCCCCAAAACACCTCCCCACCCTCCCTCCAAAAAAAACCCAAACCCAAGACCCAACTGTTTTTGGATCATGCTTTTTTAGGGGAAAAAATAAATAAATTTGGGTTATCTTAAAAAAGGGTGAATAAAACCCAACGTATACTGGAAGAAGCAAGAAAGCAGTTAAATTCAGATCAAGTTATTCTTCCCCTTTTTCTCAAGTGAAATTTTACGGAATAATTCCCCATCAGATTGTAATTTCAGTTATGATAATTTTAAAATAATTTTTATTGCAGCCAAAACATAGTTCATATACCTGTACATAAAATAAACTATGATTATATACACAACATTTTAAGATACAGGGCATGAGTTTACAATTTTTGGCAGTTTCTATTAATGAAAATTGTGTAACTTTAGTACTTGGAGAAACTCAAGCTCCCTGTTTTGGTACAAATGTTTTTATCCCCATGAATTCTAACCATAAAGTGGCTTAATAAACTAATATTAATGTGTAACATCTCACTATTTTTTTGTATGTTCTGATTCTAGACAGAATTTTTCATATGCTTCTTCAATTTCTGGATCCATCTCATCATCAATGTCATCAAAATACCTGAAAAAAAAATTAAATTAAATCACCAAAGACATTAAGTACAGCTTTTCAGAAACACTTATGTAGATGTCAAAAATAAAACACAGCTCTGTAAATAGGTGTTAACTATGACATTTTCCTAAAGAGGCTGAAAAGGAAAAAAATCATGGGTAACTAAGAAAACAAGTAAAACAGAAACCTCAAAGCAGCATGGGCATGGTACAAATAGTGACAGTGCTTGTCACCATTTTGGATCATATTACACTGTCCACAGTTTAAAAACAGAAATACTTCCCGAGATGATAGTAAGTGCAATAATTTTAACCAAGCTTCATAAAATTTAATAAAGCATCTGTATTAATCTATTTGCAAGAAACCATAATTAGCATCATAGTAGCTTTTATTTTTCAGCATCCTAGTTCAAATACTGCATGCACTGGCTTGGTTGCACACTAAAGAATCCATTTATATAAAAAACTGCATTCCTCTTTGTTGATATATGAAACCTTAATTCCAAAGGAATCTGAATAATCATTGAAGGAATACTACTTATTCTAAGGAAAGAAACGTGACGAATGTTGAGATACTGAAAATTTTGTAATCATCTCTAGCTGGGATGTATATGCACATCACTCAAGTGAATTCAGTTTGTCTCACTGCCAACACTTGAAAGTCTGCTGCTTCATTTTGCTTGCAAATTTATTTATTTATTTATAATGCAGGAAAGAGTTTGTTTGTACATGTGTATGAATATCTGAATTCTAATTACCCCACTCAGTTGGATAAATATAAAATGTTTCAATTTTGTGTGATTACAAAACAGGTAACCTCCACTGTAGAGCTAACTATTAATTATTTAGTTTTATTTTTGGCAAGACTGGATTTCTGAGTCTGCAGTGAAAAGAACCGGTATTAAAAAAAAAAAAAAAAAATCACTCAAAAAGAAAACATACGGATCTCCAGGTCCTGGCAGGTATGTTCCATTTTCTTCATATTCTGGAAAAAAATCCTCTCTTTCAAGCAGCTCTTGGTATTTTTCTTGATAATCTGGCAAAGCAAAAATGACATTGAATAATATATAAAACTAGTCCTCTAAATTACCATACATCTGCATGGTTGGAAAATAACCTTTTCAATGAAATCATAAATGGTATGAAACATTTCATAGGAAAAAAATCTCCTGCTACTGTGTTTCTCAGGACATGAACCAACCTTTAAGAATGATACCTAACTTCCCAGGCACAGATGTCTGCTGCAAGAGATTTCATGCCACACTGTGCTCAGATTACAGAAAACAAGGAAACCAAGGAATCACACAGAATCACAGAATCCCAAGGGTTGGAAGTGACCTCAAAAGATCATCTAGTCCAACCCCCCTGCAAGAGCAGGGTAACCTAGAGTACATCACACAGGAAGTTGTCCAGGCAGGCCTTGAATATCTCCAACGCAGGAGACTCCACAACCCCCCTGGGCAACCTGTTCCAGTGCTCTGTCACTTTTGCTACTGACAACAAAGAAAAATTGACATGAAGATTTCTGGCTCTGTGGAGAGACTGAGTGCTGAGAACTCTGGAACAAATTCTTCTGAGTGACAGGAACTCAAATACATGCTTTCCATTTCAAATATTTATTTTCTTTTAATGCAGGATAAGGTATGGGTTACACAAAGTCAGAAATTCAGACATAATTTTGTCTTTTAATCTGCATGAACTTCAGAAATTTGAAGAACAACTTTTTATGTACTTCAGCAGGACAAAGTTGATTACAACTTTTCAAAGATTGAGAAGGAACGTATGCTAAGCTGTTGACATACCTGGATCTGCTGCAGTGAAAGGAACACCCTCAGAAGTGTAAAATGTTGGCTCATTCTAAGAATAAAGTTACACAGGAAGTTATACATATTCAGAGAGACAGCTGTTTGTAGTTTTCAGCAATGTGAAATTGTATGAATCTATGTGTCTATGAATCAAATTGTATGAATCTATGTGTCTATGTATCAAATTAAATTCACAATTAAGGAACTGAAGTGTATGTTCTTACCATAAAATAGTTAGGGTCATTTTCAGGGGTAGCTTCTGTATGTGCAGAAGATCCATGAACTCTACCCCAGTTACTTGATCTCAATTCTACTAGTTTCAGAAGCATATGTTTCACATCTCTGAAAAAAAGCAGCACTCCAGAAGTTAGAATGTTTTCTGCTAAGCAGGAAATTGGGTTTCTCATATTTTGCAAATATTACGTAGTTAAATCCCCTCCCAAAAGCTCTGTAAAGGACAAAACCTGGTCCAGTCGACAGATAACTCTGAGTTAATTTTTCCCCCCCTGTGTGTCTAGATGCTTTATGTATCAAATATAAGATACTCACCCTCTCCACTTCCTCTGTGGTGAAGTAAGGAGCCCATATGAAACAAAAATTGCTATAGTTTTTATCAAGATACCAAACCTGCAGCACAAGTTTTACTGATAGAAGGATTGTACTGGGAAAAACAGGCAGATGATCTTCAAATTCTATTTAATAATCTAAATTATTCTCCTAACTTCAGCCCTCTTAATCACACTGTAATTTTGCAGTCAACAGTGAGAAGTAATGTCTCCAATACACTAGGCATCATGAGTCATTTCACCCCTAAAATAGGAGAAATTCCTTTCTTCTTTTAAGCGAGTTCATGGAGAAGACTCTCATTAAGGAATAAATAAAATTTTCACTTGTTTTCTTTATTAAAGTAAGTTTGCGCTTCTGTGTCTTTGAAGCCTTTGTTTATGCTATCAATTTTCTCAGGTTCCTGAAGCAAAATTTTCCTCATCCTCCCTGGGGACAGCTCAATTACAACCCACAGATGCTATAAGCTACCTGTTGGCCTCCCTCCATATGGCAAGATAACAGGTCACAGTGCCTGGACCATGTATAGGTTTTTAGTGAATTTGCAAGAAGCTGAGGATGAAGTACAACAGAATCAGATCACCTCATTCATGCTGTTTGATACCACTCATTTTTCTCCAGACTGCAGTAAGACCATGCTCTCCAGAAAAAACAACACAAAACCAAGTTTCACTTTGCCTTTACATTTATAGTTATTTGTATATATTTATATAAACCTAATACTGTTAAAATAATATTTAAAAGTATAAACTATGAGATATCGCCACAGTTGTCTCCTTGTATATATACACTTGCTCTTAGAAACCAAAGCACTTAGGAAAGATTTCAAGATCTAAAAGGTTGAAAAAAAAAATTTACACATAGGAATTGACCCGAACATCCCCTTCTTTCTTATAAATAGAAGTTTTTAAAATGTTTTGGATGTGATGTTCATTATTCTTGAAGATTTTTAAGGTGTTCTGTTTAATATAAGATATAAGAAAACCCCACTGCACACAAATTTATCTTCTCACCTGCTACAGTTTGCATCCAACACAACATTTTCAATTCTCTGAATAATATCCTCCATATCACTTTTTCCTTTTTCTTTCCAGGCATCTTCTAAAACTGAGCCTGTCAACTAAAGATATTGGATTAGTTTTGGGGTTTTTGTTTCTTTTTTTTTGTGTGTGTGTTTTTTTTTTTTTTTAATTATAAAACATTAATAAACTGTCAACAGAACAGGTTCTGTAACAATTCATAACATTTACATGTACTGCATGACTGCTTGAGGACTGACATTCCCAATTCCCGATACCCTTTTGCTAAACAGATTAACAGACCTTGTAAATAGTTTATTTTAGATTACAGACAGTATGGTAGCTCTATGTCCAATGTTTATGTCACCAAGAAGTTCACAACCACTTCTCTCCTTTCAGTCTTGAAATACGATTTGGAACAACCCTTCAATGACATTTGTCTGATCTTATGTAAGTATATGCTATGAGAAAAGGAGACCATATTTTTGCAGATAATGCCACTAGCTTACCTGAGAATAATGAAGAGTTTAATAAACAGTTTAGAAACACTTCAGTAAACTTAGCTAGCATCACACATGGCAGAGGATTTCATCTGGGTATATATGAGGAGCCAAGAATTATCTAACTAAGCCAGCCTGAATTTTAATCCATAAAATCTGGGAGGCTGAAGCTGCTGCTGAGTTTTAGCAGCAGATAGTCTACAACTGCTGTGGATGAAAGCCTTTTCTGTTAAAAACAGGTACTTCACTGCCCAGTAATTGCACAGTAGGAATTAAATCACAAGAAAAATAGTTTGCCTCTACGATCAAAGTTAATAGCAATTCCTGATCTACTCAGCCACTTTCCAAAATGCCTGGAACAGCACCTGATGATATAAAGGAATAAAAGCAAGCATCTTGGTCAGCATTTGTTTGGTGTTCTTGATTTTCTGCTGCAGTCCTACCCTGACCCTAGACAATTAGATAATAGCACCAAGGAGATTTAATTACAAATAAACATACTGCAGAGCAAACAGGTAAAACACCTTATTGATCACTATATTAAATGGAAAAGACAACAGGAGACATTTACTGCTTCAATAATGAAGCCAAGGGGTTGGACTAGGTGAACTCCAGAGACCACTTCCAACCCTGACAACTCTGTGATTCTGTTCCATGAAGTAGCTCAGTCTAGCTACACATATACTCTAACATTTGTAGCTACTGTAAGACACTAGAAAACACTTGCATCAAACCTCCCCAAAACCTGTGTTCTGTAACACTTTTTAGATTAGTACCATGTCATAAAATAATTTAGATTGCTGTCTTTTATTTTTGTATGGATGCTGTGAAGTCAAGTAAATATTCCAAGACCATTCACAGAAATAGCAAGACCTCCACCTTCTTTTGAGAACGATTATAAAAACCAGCAGCACTGGAAAACCTCTTGATTTGTGTACTGCCTTTTCAGAAAGTCCTTCAAGGGGCCTTGCCTCAGGGAAGCACTGCCAATGTAAGGACTGACCACAGGAGGAACTGTGCTCATTGAATACAACCTCATATTTTTGCTTTGAAGCAACCTGTTTAAACATCCAAAATTCAAATCAAAAGTTGAAATAGAAAGATTTAAAACCTCTCTTCCCTATTCACCATATCAAAAGAAGCTGCCTGAATTTCAAGATAGAAGAGTCTGAAAAATAGTGGAGTGGGAAGAAGAGGGAAGAATGAGGAAAAAGCAACTAAACAACCAACCACCCTTCCCCTACCCCCTTTTCCCCCCAAAAAACCTTAAGTCCAAAAAAATGCTGTATAGCTTTTAAATTGCTTTCCTGTGAAAGTCTTTTCCCAACTATGAATATAACCATGGCTAGCAAAGAAAAGTTTCTCCCTGCATAGAGGCTACCATTTTTTTTTAAGTAAAAATTTAAGAGCAAAGATGTTTGTTTTCATCATGAAAGAGAATATATTTATTTGTGCAGTAACAACGATACAGACAATACAAGATGAAATAACTGGTATCAAGAACCTTTTGCCACAAAAAGTGGCAGACACATCCTTCAGAACACAGAACACAGAATCATAGAATAGTTAGAGTTAGAAACGACCTTAAGATCATCTAGTTCTAACCCCCCTGCCATGCGCAGGGACACCTCACACTAAACCATGTCATCCAAGGCTCTGTCTAACCTGGCCTTGAACACCACCATGGCTGGAGCATTCAGAACTTCCCTGGGCAACCCATTCCAGTGCCTCAGCACCCATACAATAAAGAATTTCTTCCTTATATCCAATCTAAATTTCCCCTGTTTAAGTTTTAACCCGTTACCCTTTGTCCTATCACTACAGTCCCTAACAAAGAGTCCCTCCCCAGCATCCTTATAGGCCCCCACAATTCATTCAAATTGGTTACAGTTTTCTCCCACACCAGAAACAGCAAAAGGAGACCTGAAGTGACTGCTTAATCCTCTGCATCCTGGCTTCAGTTCCATTGCTCTTGTATGTATAAGAACAGCCTTTCATTTTACTTTTAGAGCTTACGTTACTTTTTTGTTGGCTCAATTTCATAATGGTACTAAGGGAGAAAACCCCAGCAAACAAGTATAGCTTCCTCTGCTAATGATGTAATGCATAAAACCTTATAAACATTTCCTCACTTGCAGTTTCCGCCACTGCTTCCAAAGGTAGGAAGGTTAAAAAACTTGATCATTTTTTCTGTTAAAACTACTGTCTCACCTTCAGCAGTTTCACTGCACATATCAGATTACTGTCCACAGGATTAGACAAGAGTGCATTTAGTAATTCCCGAAGGCCTTCTTGAAGAATTTCTGCTCGCATTACCTGTCCCTTTGTTCCTTTAATCTGCAACAACAAGTTTAAAAGACTTAAGTTTTAGAAATCAATTTAGTCACATTTTCTTCTCTTGAAAGCTGTTATGATTTGGTTCGTGATCCACATAGCTGAGGTCTTTAATTGGAAGAACATGCCACATACTGTAGCTGTTTTAGAACACGGACTTTGAGGATACCTTACAATTCTGACACATACATACCAATGCATGCCTAGCATTTTGGTTGCTAGTAAACTGCTATGGAAAAGCTACCAAATGCCTGGCAAATGGTCCACAAAGTCCCAGATCCCCATGCTCTTTCCCATGTTACAATATGTATTCTCTACAGCTGTAGTGGCTTACTTCTGGAAGGTGCTCATTATGTATTTAACAGAGTACAGAAAACAGTTAAAAAAATAAATCGTAAGTTCCACAGAACTGGATAACTTCTCCTCCTGCAAAGCCCTCTGTAAATTTTTCCCATTTACTTCTAGCAAGTGAAAAGAAGATTTCAAGGCCTACTTACAAACAGAAATGGAAAACTCACATATTTATTTTCTTTCCTTATGCCAGCACAACATTTTTATATTATTTCCTTATATCAAACCATTGAAATAATCCTGCTAAAAACATATTTAAGTACACTTTGGTAGTGACCTTACTGAACTCACAAGTGTAAAAGTCACAGAAGCTTTAAGTGTACATAAACTTGTTTGCACATATTACAGATACAAAAACCCCCAATCTAAATACAAGATTACATGCTTAAAGCATAATACAAGGGCTCAACCTTCAGAAGATGTATATTTAAAGGCCTACATTTTTAATTGCTCATTTTAAATATTTCCACGTCTTCCTCAAGGGTTTGCTAATAGCTCCTATTGGTGACTGGATACTGAATTATGGGTTATTGATCCTGATCCGCTTCTGCAAGGTTGTAACATTTCCTGTGCTGAATCGTACTCATCTGGGGTATTGCCAGTCTAAAAAACATAACATAAGCTGCATTCCAAAGGTGGTTGGGGTTGGATTTTTTAATGATTTCTTACACTTAAAAAAAAATCTTTATAAACTTCTACTGATCTTGTCCTATTTCCTGGACACACATTATAACAAAACTGTTCTAAAGTTCTTTTAATTTAATCCCCTCTCCCTTCAGAAAAAAAACACCTCAAATTACATGCCATTTTCAGTGTTTACCTGAACACAACAACAACAAAAAAAAATCAACAAAGAACCACACCACATGGAACTTTCCTCTTACCTCTAGATTAAGGTAGAGTTCAGCTAAGAAGAGCACAAAGGCATGAAACTCTTTTTGAGTAGTCTCATCTGCTCTGGTGGCTTCATCCCTGTTTTCATACTCTGCTCGACACCTGTAAAAATTAAAACAAAATCATACATCTGTAAACATCCCAGTGTATTTAACATGATACTTACTTAACAGAATGCTAAGAACTTATGAACTATATTGAAACTGTTACATGCTGAATGTTGGCAAGTACAATTTGTGAAGGAAATGAGAGCACTTCACAAAGACACCATGGACTTGTCTCTTTTTAGATGAATACATATGATTACATGATGATGTTTTCACGTGCTGAAATTGGAGAGAGCAAAATGAAACAGAGCAAATTACAACATGGAAAAATTAGAAGACAGTTACTGTCTACATATTAGAATATGGGTCCAGGAAGCTTAAGGCAGGCAGTGAAACGTCCACAAAACCAGATATTACTGCAAAAGACATATTCCCCCTTTCAGGGTGCTGCCCACATTGTCTTAGATACCTTTACACTTACCCAATAAATTATTTATCTAACCATTTTAAGTGACAGTGATGCCTAGTTCATGACACTAAGCTGTGTGGCGATATGCTGGAGGGGAAGGATGGAGGTGGGTGAGCGCAAACCTCATGAAGTTCAACAAGGCCAAGTCCAAGTTCCTGCACTTGGCTGGGGCAATCCCAAACTTGGGATATTGGCTGGGTGCATTGAGAGCAGCCCTGAAGAAAAGGACTTGGGGGTACTGGTGGATGAAAAACTGATTATCAGCTGGCAATGAGTACTAGCAGTCCAGAAAGCTTAATCACACCTTGGGCTGCATCAAGAAAAGCGTGACAAGCAAATCAAGGGAAGTGATTCTTCCCCTCAACTCCACCCTGCAGTACTATGTCCAGCTCTGGAGCCCCCAACATAAGAAGGATGTGAAGCTGCCGGAGTGAGTCCAGAGGAGAGCCATGAAGATGATCAGAGGGCTGGAGTAGCTTTCCTATAAAGACAGACTGAAAGAGCTAGGATTGTTCAGTCTAGAGAAGAGAAGGCTCCAGGGAGACCTTAGAGGAGCTTCCAGTGCCTGAAGGGGCTTACAAACAATCTGAAGCAGGATCTTTTGTAAGAGAAAATAGTAATAGGACAAGGGGGGATGGCTTTAAATTGGAAGAAGGTAGATTTAGAGTAGACATTAGGAAGAAGTTCTCTGCTGTGAGGGTGGTGAGGCCCTGGCACAGGTTGCCCAGAGAAGTTGTGGCTGACCCATCCCTGGCAGTGTTCAAAGCTAGGCTGGACGGGGCTTTGAGCAACCTGGTCTAGTGGAAGGTGTCGCTGCTTGTATCAGGGAGGTTGGAACTGGATGAGCTTTAAGGTCCCTTCCAAACCAAAACATTCTGTGATTCTATTATCTAGATACAAATACAGAGGATTAAGATAATATGGCTGAGAGGTAATTTTTCTGGCACTCAACAACTGTGCCAAAACCACACAAGCTTACATAGCAGTTCAAAATCAGAATGAGAAAGTATCTGAGATAAAGGAAAGCCAGACAACTTCTAATGTTACTCTCTATGGTTATGTAGTGAATTAAGAAACACTAAAGAAATGAAAAAAATCTACATTTTCTATTTCAGCTACTAAAGTAGAAACTTGGGTTGAGAAAAAGAAGATGAACTCTCTGTGGTTATACTGTTAGGTTGTTTATCCCCCTTCCCAATTACGTCCGTCTTAGTAATAAACACATAAGCAGGGTGCCAAAATGGATCTTATCTATTGGGTTGGCTTTAAAAAAGCCACCAAAAACCTGATAACCCAACCTTACCAGGTTATTTCCTTCGTCTTCAAGTAACAAACATATTTAAAAAAAAAAACAAAACAAACCGACCAAGATGAAAGTCGTAATTTTTAAGGCAAAAAGGCTCATTCTGGGAAGAGGGAAAATGTAAGTATTCTCTGTTTCTCCGTGTCCTGGTTTCAGCTGGGATAGAATTGATTTTCGTTCTAGTAGTGGGTACAGTACAGTGCTGTGGTTTGGCTTCAGTATGAGAATAATGTTAATAGCACACTGATGCTTTAGTTGTTTTGCGAGTACCTGGAGGAGTGAGTGTCTGTGTGGCATTTAGCTACCTGTCAGGTTAAACCACGACAGTCCTTTTGGGAGCCCAACACAGTGCACAAAAGACTGAGCTAACAGCAGATCGGAACAAAGTGTGTTAAAACAAATTTGCTATAAGCATTCATTATATTAGTTTAACTGTCACTGGTCACAATATTGATTGATTTTCTCTCAGAGTTGCTGTGAGTTCTTACTTGCTGTACATGTTGCCTGTTGTGATATTTATCAACTCTGGGGGCTGGGTTAAGGTTACCATTTTGCTGTACTTTGTAACACTGGCTTATGACAGAAAAATGCTGCTTGTGAGACTCATCTGGTCCCTCGCAACCTTGCCTCATTTCCGTACTTCGGGAGCCATCTATCGGAATCTATTAGCAATTACACCTTTTACCTTTTCTCCTCGGTGAGTCAATCCATTGTGGAGATAACATTCCTCCATCTTCCCTTTCTCCTGGAGGAGATACCTTCCTCCATCTTCCTCGTCTTCTCCAGGCTAATTATAATAGCTCAAGAATTTTGAATATTCTAGGGATGTTCAAACCAGCATGATCCTATTGCTATGTCTCCTAAATGTCCTCAGAGTTAAACAACTATTTAAGAATACCATCCAGAGATCTGTCCCGAGGCTAGATAGTTACGAGTGTTGCTTGGGTAGAGTACCTGTTGTAAAAGTATGCCATGTAGACAGATACTCAAGTACTCAAGAGTTGGGCCACTGACGAACATCAAAACAGCCAAAAGGTAGATCAGGCTGCTAAGACTGAGGTGGCTCAGGTGGATTTGGACTGGCAACATAAGGGAGAATTATTTTTAACCCAGTGGGCTCATGCAGGCCACCAAGGAGGAGATGCAACATATAGATGGGCTCGTGACTGCAGAGCAGATTTCACCATGGACACTATTGGACAGGTTATCCATGGTTGTAAAACATGCACTGCATTTCAGCAAGCCAACTACTTGGCTTTATTATTTTTCCTTCAATTCCTGTCTTATTAAATTGCCTTTTCTTCCCAGGTCTCTCCTCCATCCTCCTGAGGGGCAGGGAGAGTAAGCAAGTGGCTGTATCATTTTTAGCTACCTGCAGTCTTCAACCATGACACTCCAGAAGTTACACTCTGGATAAAAGATCATCGTAATTCACTGCTGTTGAAGTTTTTCCTGATTTTGTTCCTAAACATAGGTGCACTAAGTGAAACTTTTTAAAACAAGAAGCAAGCTTGAAGTTTATAAAGCCAAAAGTCCTTAAAAAGGCTAATTTCTAAAGAATTCTTAAGTACGACGGTGTTCTGCTTCAAATGTCATGCAGAAAGATTTAAAAGGAAATAGTTCATTTAAAAACTTTTTTTTTTGTCAACTACGAAGTCTAGTAATTATTAAACTGTAAGCCCTCGGAATTCTGTAGAAACTGAAAATTGAAGAAAAGTATTCTTCTGGATTTTATGTACCCACTCCACAGACAAAGTCAGTTAGCTGATCAGTGAATAAACCTTACACAGCAACTCCAGCCAAAAAAGTAATCAAAGGAAAAAAAAAAACCAAACCACAATGAAGTCAGTCTTGGCAAGGGTCAAAGGACAAGGACAGTACATATATGTGCATTTACTATAACTTCCAAACTTTAGTTGACTAACTTTCCAATTTACCCTGTAACTTGTGATCAGTCTGAGATACTCAGGTCAAAAGAGCCAACAGAACTCCAAATGGAATCCCTTTCTCATATTTTAAAATATTAAAATATTTTAAAATGTATGTTTCTGATACCCAGTATGTACCTGTGCTTTAATAATCCTCAATCTAAACTTCTATTTTATGTATGTACCTTGTTGCACATGATGCTAACAGTTACAAAGTAAGAAGACATGTAACCTGAGAAAGTAACAGGCTTAAAATTACATACTGATACTGACCTTTGAAGTAACAGTTGTCGGAAGTTCCCACTTTGTGGACTAATGGTTAGATGGTGAGACAGATAGTTACACAACCGAGCTCCCATGTACGAAAAATTTGGGACAGATGTGGCCTTCCAAAATAAAAGTGGAAAAAAAGAAATTATTCATAAAATCATTGTTAGGCTATCAGGAAGTATCTTTAAAAGCTTTTTTGAAAGCTACTTAACAACAGTTGATAGGACAACTGAAAAGCAGAAGATTTATAATTACTATTTGTCATGTTAATTTTTGCATCGCATCAACACATTGCTAAATGCATTCCTGCACTTAACAAAATACACATACTGTGATTTTGTAAAAATCTTTCAGAAAACAACCACTATTATGCTGTGTGTCTCAACTGTGCTTCTTCACTATAACCTGCAACCAAAAAGTACCTGAAGATCACTTACAAACTGTTTATACAAAAAAAAAAAATTAACACTGGACATTAAAACATTTTTCCAAGGACACTCTCTCAAGGAGCAAGGATTATATGAAACCAGCAGCAACAACAACAAAAAGTCTCCTTCATTCAAAGGGCTGTTTATCCCAGAAAACGTTCCTGGCAATAATGGATGCCCAGGGAAAAAGTACAAGCACACTGTAAGTAAAGACACACTCCAGCAATCTGCAGAATAGCAAACTCCCGATTCAGAGGTTAAGCCGCTATCATTACAGTTAACAGATCTTGATGGGTCTTTTTTTCCAGAAAAAGTCATGTTACTCTGAACATTTACACTTTTGTCATCTAAAAACAGCTGGCAGCAACGAAATTCTACAATGTAAGTTATACACTGTCTGAAAAATATTCTGCTTTAAATACTATACTTTAAAATTTTAAGAGGTGGAAAAAAGCAATTGAAAATTCAACATTGTCTATTATTCAAACTCTCTTAGAACTTAATGCAGAACATCCCCTTATTTTGGCAATTAAATCTTGTTCAATTATTTTAAACGATCTTCCAACAACACTTGAATTAGAGATTCTTTCTCAAATACAGCTTCGGTGAAAAGAGGTTCTAGTTTAAATAACTCCAGCAGCTCTGCCAAAAAGAAAATAGGGTTATCAAGAATCCATTAAACTTCTCCCATGGCTGAATCATCTTTGAACATTGATTTTACATCTTGATCATCTATCAGCACTACAGCTGTGCTTGCTGCTTCTAACATGTTCAAATAAAAAGCATCTTGCCATTAGCACATCAATGTGTTGCATCTAGTTACCTTGTATACGCACAGGCAGGGAAAAATGCACTTACTGTAACTGTACTGTGTGCATGAAGTTGCTGGTAAAAACTGAATTGTCTTTGGAAGATACAAGAAGCTTATGTAACTAAGATAGCAAAATAGAATCTAGTTTCCAGTAAGAGGCATGTGAAACATCTAACGAGCTTTTTGGTGCTTTGGTTCAATTAGTTGCTTGCACTAGAAAAGGTGTCCCCTTTTTATACAGCAAAATACATCACTTTAATTTCACTTCTCTCTCCTAACAAAACCCCCAAATCAATCAAGCACACATGCAAATTCTTCAAACCTCATCTGTATTTTCTAATCTTCATCTTCCTAATTACTTGGTCTGTATTTGTGGTTGCATCAAATACCGACACAATTAAGTTTTACGTATTATGACCTAAATTTTAGCTATTATGACTCAGAGACCAAAAAAACCCACCTCTACATCTTCTTAATAACCAGTCACTACTGTGCAGTAACATCTTCCCTGAATTATCGTTGCTGGTAATCCTAGCTTATCTCCGACTCAAAAAAGTCACAATCTAATCAGAAGGCTAATCTACCAATACTTATCTTGGGAAATTTCAGTTGGTGTATTAACTATAAACAGCCAAGATTCTTAAGCTATAATGTCAGAGTGTTCAACTTTTGAAAAACAAGGGACTCAACAACTCACTGTATAGAGACATAAATGGGTTAGGAAGAAGAAGGGGAAGTATGTAATTAATACTTACAGACAGATTGAGATACCTGATACACAGACAAAGGGAAGAGCGTACAGGACTTGGGTTTCATTCATTTTAGTCTTTTAATTTACACGTAGCAGGTGTAAATCTGCCACCTTTAACCCAGGACTGCCAAGTCCACCACTAAACCATGTCACTGAGGGCCTCACCTACATGGTTTTTGAAGTCTTCCAGCAATGGTAATTCCACCACAGCACTGGGCAGCCTGTTCCAGTGCCTGACCACCCTCTTGGTGAAGAAATTTTTCCTAATATCCAGTCAAAACCTCCCCTGTTGCAGCTTGAAGCAGTTACCTCTTATCCTACTGCTTGTTACTGGATAAGAAAAGACCAGCCACCTCCTGGTTCCATCCTCCTTTCAAATAGCTGTAGAGAGTGAGAAGAACTCCCCTTTGCCTCCTTTTCTCCAGACTGAACACTCCCAGGTCCCTCAGCCGTTCCTCATCACACCTGTGCTCCAGACCCTTCACCAGCTTTGCTGCCCTTTTCTGGACCCGCTCCAGCACCTCAATGTCCCTCTTGTAGTGAGAGGCCCAGAACTGAATGCAGGACTTGAGGTGTGGCCTCACCAGTGCTGAGGACAGGAGGTCTCCCACCATTTCTTCCTGAATTATGGAGACTTCAATCAGCTCCCCATCTCTGCCATACAGCTCAGGAAGCTGAGCACCCTGAGAACTGCTGGTGTGATTATTGAAGACTGAGGCAAAGGCAACATTAAGTATGTCTCCTTTTCCTCATCCTTGGTCACTAGGTTTTCCCTACTATTCAGTAAAAGATGGAGGTTCTCCTTGGCCCTCCTCTTATTGCTAATACATTTTGTAAAAATACTTATTATCTTTAATGTCAGTGGCCAGAGTTAGTTCCATCTGTGCCTTCCCCTTTCCAATTTTCTCCTTCCATAACCCAACAATATCCTTGTATTCCTGATGGAGCAATAGTCCCTCCTACAGGTAATAGATTCTCCTCTTCTCCTGAATTCCCACAATATCTCCCTGTTCAGCCAGGCCATTAGATCGGGTTGCTCTAAGGCCCATCCAGCCTGGTCTTGAACATTTCCAGGAATCAGACATCCACAACTTCTCTGCACAACCTGTGCCAGCTGTAAGATCTTCCTGGAGCAACCTTTTCTCCAGGCTGAACAAAACCATCTCTCTCAGCCTGTCTTCATGAGAGATGCTCTATCCCTCACTGAGTAATAACACTCAATGCTTTTCAGTTGAAGAAGGCACAGCCAACCCTAACACTGGACTTGTTTTTAAACAGCAGGAGAGAGAAAGAGACAACACTGAAGACTTACATTAAATAAGAATCTATTTAACTTGTATGAAGTTAAAAATCGGATAAATCCCTCTTTTTCTTCCAATAAAGTTACATGGAATATGTTAATCTTTTTAAGCTCTTGTCCATGTGTTCAAATAAAAGATGGGAAAACAATGCTGCCAAACACAGTACAGATAATCTTACAGATAATCACTAGTCTGTTGTGAATTAAATCTGCATCAATTCTGTATGACAGTAAGAAACTTTAGACTCTACAGTTCTGTACCATGATCAATCAGTCATGCAGCTTCTACGTGCCCTAGATTAAAATATTCTGCAAGTATCTGCACTTAAAAGGTAAATAAGAGTTTGCATTCTCCAAGGTAGAATTCAAAAGCAACCAACTCAGAAATGTGAAAGACACCCAAGGTAATAAACAGCAAGGGCAAGAGTGACTTCATTCTAAGCAACAAGGCCAAAAGACAGTAAAAACAGCTAATTTGCTAACCAACAGATATTAAGCTGTTTGTTCCAATGGCTCCCCCAATTAGTATGGAGTTCAGTTCAAGGTCACTGTCCTCATTTCCATGCCCATCAATGGGACTGGACCTAGTTAGCATTAGATGAGCTTTCCCTTCCCCTAGTTATGCTGTTCTGAAATAGGTACATTCCAAATGAATAAGAAAGCCTGTCAGGAGTGTTTCCCAAAGGGTGATGCGCACAGTAGCTATGAATTTAATTTTTTAAAATACCAAGGAATTGAAAGTATCTGAGTAGTATAAGGAACTTGTTTTGCAGGACAGAATAAAAATGTACAACTCTGACATTGCTTAAGTGTACTTCTTCAATCTTTACTACATAAATAAAGCAATTCAAATATAACTCCCTTTAACCACAATTTCAAATCTAGTATGTGAGCCAGGAGATAAAAATTTATCAACCGTCCAAGTATTCCACACCTGAGCTACCATTTAGATTTGATTTAGCAAAATCTTTCCCTATATGTTCCAGTCTAAAAAGAAAAATTCATTAAACAACTACATAGGTAAAATTACATGACAAATAATACTGATATGCTTACTTTGGACACTAGGCAATAGAGGCATAGTATCAATGTTATATACACAGCGTACCTGCTGATAGATGAGCTCAACAAGCCCTTGTAAATCTTCACCTGAAGTGACCCAGGAATTCAGTGTTTCAGCAAACTGCTCTATTTCAGTTTCAAAACAAGCTGGTTGGTCGGTGAGGTGATTTAGGAAGTCTTGTACATATTCCACCAAAGTCAGATAGCCATCGTATCTATCTTCAAAGGAAGAATCCTATAGCAGTGAAATAACATACCGACTATTTAAAAGGAACATAAAAGAACATTGTTACACTTACTATATCCAGAAGCAACCATATAGCCTTCAGTTGTGAGTCTCTGCAGGCTTAATAGTGATCTTTATCACAGTTTACTTCAACACTGTTAAGAGAAGACAGACCTCAGGGCATCAGAAATCTCTAGTAGTCCTACCATCTTAAGAACTAGGTGATATTTTTATAGAGATAAAGGTCTCCCAGCAAAACACATCAAAAGACAGATCAAAAGAAATCAAAGAGTTTGCCGAGTTAGGAGCAAGATTAACTAAGCAATAAAGTAAGTATATATGTTAAGACTAAAACCAATAGAGGCTCAGCACCCATTCCTGATGTGCAGACAGTGCTGCATATATACAAAATGTAGAAGGAAAAATAATTGGAAACTTGAAACAAAGTATGTTGGGCTTAAACAGAGCGCATAGTGTTTCAAAACATGCAGAATGGCAAGAAATTACAGAAATACAAGAAATACAGACTAGCGTCCCCATGTAAAAAGTATTTTTTAAAGTCAGTGAATTTGCATCTCTTGACAATGGATGAAAGACTACAAAGCATGAAACTATTCAAATGGTACTGCATTAATTTGCAGCTAAAGAGGTTAAAAACCAGAGAGTAAACACACCTGCTCCCTAAAGGAGGGATTGAGCTTGCACAATACCACTTTATCAGTGTTTACACTCCTGCTGATGGATAGAAGGCTGTCAATTTTGTTCATTCAGAAATGAACGTATGTATCTGAAGTCAATACTGTTCTGGAGTATTATGATGCTAGCATGGGAGGGGAACAGCAAAGTAAGCAGGATATTTTGTGATGTCACTAGTAATAACACAGTACAAATAATTCACTTTGTCACACTATACAAAAGATGGTAAAAAGTATTCTTACACAGATTTCAGAAGTGCAAGCAGGAACCTGAAGAAGGACTGCTAAAGAAATGACTTATCATTAGTTATTCAAGACATAAGGGTAACACAGAATATCAGGCCTGTCAACTTATCTACTGGTTAACAAGAAAAAGGTTTAAAATATATGAACTGTAAAGAAAAAAATTATCTAAAAATGTTAGTGAACTAACAATTTTCTTCATTTAGTGGACATAAATACATTACCAAGGATTGTAAGTACATTCTCCTTTTCCCCACCACTTCTCCCTTATTGAAGTGATGTAATTTACTTTCTGTCTTTAAAACACCTCAGTCTCTCCTCTACTGTGAAGCAACGTGGATCTGTGAAAGATTTTTATTTGGACATGAACTGTACAGAAAGACAGACAGACATTGCTGACAATCAAGTATTTACATTAATTTCACGACCTGTGAAGAATGTGTAGGGAAAAAGGCAGACCTTCCAAAATTCTTCAAAGATCCGCGTCATAAGGGTATACAATTTAAGCTAGAGTGAGATATATCAATATAATAAAAGAAAAAAAAAATATGTCCTATTATGTTTAATTAAGTAGAATATTTGTCTTTCATATTATTCAATGTACAAAGTTACATAATATTGCCCACAAGAAGCTGAAAAAAAGAGTTTATGGAAATGGTGGCAAATTGTTATTACCATAAGGATAAATATTTCAACAACCTCGTCCAAGTTAATTTTATTTTGAGTTTGGAAAGGGAATCAAGGAGCTTCAGAGATCTTTTCCAACTGAAAGTATCTTACAGTTCTAATGGTTTGGAGCTTATAAAACCAAAGACTAAAGGGTAACAGGCCTATGCATAATTGGCTAAATACTCTATTTTGCTTAAGGAAATCAACTTTTACTAGGCAATTTCAAGTACCCCAGGAAAAGTTCTGTACAATAAACTTCAACTATTTTGTTCCACAGAACTATGACATTATCGTGCAACAACTACAGCTTAGTCATACAAATGAACTGGCATTTCTCCGAAGAACCTGTTGAAAACCTCTCATGTCAGGTTGCAGGGAATGCTGTTGCTGCACCTAGTATAAAGAAGCTGCTCCTTCTGACAGCCATCAGGTTGTTAGGAGATCCTCATTCAGCAAAGAGGAAGGTATCTTCCTCTCATCCTTACTTGATAGGAATTCAATCTTGGAGGATAATATCCTCCTGGAAGGAGCCCCAATATCATTTGGTATACCCGTGTCTCTGTATTCATACTCCTCTTCCCATTTTGTAATTAAAAGGCTAGCACAGAGGGTCTTTACCACATTAATCTACCTGTACTAACTACGCAAATCCAAGTGCAATTGAGGTCTTAGTAACTATGCCAGCAAAAAGAACAAATAGGAGAGAAAAAATGAATAATTCAGGCATTATAATAAAGTTGTATATTGCTAAATAAGTAATACTTAATAGTTTAAAAATAATAATATTTGCCCCAGTAACTTCTAGACATAAACCACTCATGTTTGTCATTGGCAGATTTTTACAAGAGAAGACAGCACTAATCCCTCCTATTATTTTTATAGTTGGCTAACAGGAAGCTATTAAGTTTACAAATTTATGATTTAAAGCCATGAAAGTCAAATAGAATTTTTCCACGAATTTCAACGATTTCTCAATCAAGCCAACACTGTCTAATCCTTCTCCTTTATGTTTGATAGCTATAGGATGGGATCCTGGATTATTCACAACAAAAGACTGACCAATTTAAAGATAACAGATTTGCCTCTTTTTGGCTAATGATGATTTGCTTCTCTTCCGCCTCTGCTTCTACTAAGACTCAATTCACGAGTTTCAAAAAAACAACAGTGAAAAAGCTCAGTAAGTACTAAAACCCCTCTGATTTACACAAAGGTAACAAAAAGGAAGATATATAAGCCAGGTCTGCTCAGTTTCTGCACATGTGCTAATTACCACCTTCCTATACCTGGTAGGTATTCACATTTCTTCCACTTAGGAACTTCATCACTGAATTCTTCATTTGATTTCTCTTCAGACCCTTAGGAAAAAGATTTTCTCCCTTTCAGATTATATGCACTTAACAAGTTTACAATAAATTTATTGCAAACTTAAGTACAAATGATGTACAGTGAAAATGGAATTTGCCGTAGTGATAAACAGTGATTAACAACATCACTTGTAAAAACAAGACAATTCCTTACTAATTACCTTAACCTTAGAAGCAGAGCTAAAGGACTGATAAAAGGAGAACACCTGCACCAGAGAGTGCCAAACACAAAGTGAATACTAGAAAAACAAGTGGTCAACAAGAAAGGGCAGTAGCTGGGTGAAAAGCAAAGGTGGCATAGGAAGATTGCTGACTGACTCAATTCAGGACCCGAAAAGCTTGCTGTCTCCCCACCCCTTTTCATGAAGCATGTGTGCTAAAAGAAAGTACTAATTACGAATATATTTGATAACTTTTGACCAATGATAACTAATTTCTTTGTTTTCTGAAATGTGTATGTTTGATGCACACAAAACTAAGGTGTGCTAGCTTTGTGGACCTTCCACCTAGCACCCTATTTTGTAAAACAGATGAGAATAAAACACCTTGAGTCTGAGTATATATAGTCATTCTGCACACCAGGTAACAATTCCACTTTTGGGACAACACAAAAACTGTTGCATATACAAAATCACCTTGCCATGCTGTATGAAGGGAAGACGCACCCTCCTGCTTGGCTAAACATATAAAACCAGCACTGAGGCTGCTTAACCTCCTTTTTTTTTTTTTTTTTGAAATGAAACAAAGTAAAAACCAAAGCCAGACCAAATGGTGATGGCTGGATTCCATCTAAGATGATACAAATCTCATTCTTACGAAGTGAAGACATGATTGTGCCCTTCTGATGGAGTGACAGCCATGTTATCATACACTTGTGCCAGAGAACAAGTCTGACATTTCCAACTGGCAATTCAAACCTAAATCTAGTCACCAATTCTACTGCAGAATTCCACAAGGTCTGATTGGAGCAACCTCTGTATGGAAAGAGAGAATTCCACGGGGGTCTTTAGTCCCTAAAGTCCTGGTAAAGTTTTTCTGAAAACTCTAGTATGCCTTGTGTGCTGTACCCCTTACACTGTCTTCACAGGGAACTGATAGTTTTGAGTATCAGAACTAACCGGAAGTCATCAAGTAATCTCATACGCAAATGTGATATGGACATGCACAGTAATTACTATAATGTACAAATAAATAAGAAAATTGTCACTTTTTCTAAAACAATAAATGCTTAATAGCAAAGCCACTGTATTTTAGAAGAGAAATGGAGCTTTCAGATGTAAAAATTTCAGGGAATGTTATAAATTAAAGCTAAAAGATATTAAATGTAAGTCAGAAAAGCAGTATTTTCTCGAAATATTTTTGATTCAAATTTTAAAACTCATGATCAAAATCTGTGTAATAATGAAGGGTGCTAAATTTCTTAATTTTATTGAAAGTGAAATTAATTCAGCCATTAAAATTAAAAAACCCAAAACAACCAAAAAAAAAACCACACCAAGAAAAAAAAAGCTAAAACTGCCAAAAACCTTTGTAATAGTGAAGCACAAACATCTGAAACACCACTATTAAGGCCCCTGCAACATACTTACAAATACATGTTCTAGGTTTTGACTAGCATTTTAACAGGTATTTTAATTAATAGATGAGTCACATATTCCGACAACATATTCCTACATATTCCTACAACACAGCAACCAGGAACTCCTACATGCCTGCGTGTTTCCGCAAAAGAGCTGAAAAGCAACACTGGTGTCCTCATAACTTTGTAATTGTAAGCATGCATTATGTATGCCAACCCAAATGGCAGGTTTTTTGGTCTTGAAACTGAAATTTTTCCTTACAGAAAACATGTAACATATATTGGGGGAAAATAGTTATTTTCCCCCTAGATTACCTAATTCACTGAAGCATGTTTGTGTTGGCGTTTCATTAGCAGTTGTTTATCAGCTATGGGCTTCTATTATGCAGGACAGTAATTCTATTCAGTAAGCTGGCAAAGCTGGTAACATTAAGATAACATCAATTTCACTGGTGAGGAAAAGACTTTAAAGCCAAGCCACCACATTTAGCATTCAAATCAAGTATTTTTCTAGAAGTTATAAAAAAATCTGTATGTCTCTATAAATTGTTTGGGGGTTTTCTGTGGGTCTTTGTTTTTTTTTTTTTTTTTTAAATCACTTGAGTGTATTTGTAAAAGTCATTGTTCCCACCTGTTTATGTACAATACCAGAATTTGGCTGCTTGCACAAAAGGGTATTCCAAGAATTCACATACATCTTTCCCTTTACTGAAGCAGTAACATGGAAGACAACAGAGAAGAAAATACAAAGTACCAACTTTTATTACATGGTACATCTACAACATCCATCTGAAATCACCCTTAACCTGGCTGTAAATGTATTAGGTATGTGGGTAGGAGCCTAATCCTACTTTTCTGCCCTTTGGTGGTACCACTTTTAAGGAAGGAATTAAAAGTCACTGTCAATCATACCCACTGTAGAATAAATTTCAAAAAGGTAAAGTCTGTGCTTGGAAAAGCTGAAGGTCAAGCTTTCTCCCACACTTGCTTCAAAAACTGAAATCTGCCTAAATGTGTACCTAAGCCTTTACTTAAAATCCAGTGCAGCTACAACAGAGGTAGCTGCTAAAAAAGATGTAATCAATGCTTGGTAAAATGAACAAGCAACATTGTTACCTGCAGCAAGCTTTAACAAAATATCTCATGCTAAAGGCTCTCACATACACCATAAAATTCACACACTATCACTTAACATTCTGACTGTGACTCCTGAGGTTATCATCAGAGTTTCTGGAATCTCTTCAGCAAATGAAGCATTCAAGTTATCTGATTAAACAAGATCTCAGAAAAATGTTAACTTGAATACAAGCAAATTGGCATATACTAAAAAAAGAAAATAAACACTCACCGCAAAGTTCTGATTGAAGTTCTGGACGTATCCTGGTGGATAAAACTCAGGTGCTTTGACAGACAAGTTTGATCTTATCACAGGAGCTGCAGCCACTTGAGATTCAGCCGTTTCTGGTTCAGAATCAAGAGCTGAAACTTTATCTTGTGATCCAGATGGAATCCCTGTCTGTGGCAGGTGCTCTGAAAAATTTTTGTTAAAAGCTTTTCTTAGAATTGACTAAATTAGTATGTATTCACACTGAGTGCACATATAATACATATTTTTATTTCAAATATACTTTTATTATAAAAAATACTCTCAAGTTTACTTCAAATATATCATTTTTCCTAAACATGGATAAAGTTTTTACTTTAGCAAACTCTAGATGTCCTTCTACCTCACAGAAAATAACCAAAATGTTCACGTGAACATTTAAAAAAAAAAAAAGAGAAAGAAAAAAAAAAGAGAAAAAAGGAAAAGAGCTCTCTCCTCTCCCATGAAAATACACTTTCTAAGAGAGCTAACCTGAGAAACTAGCAAATGTGCTTATGGCATGCTTGCTCATCTTGTGGGTTTTCCATACTTTTCAGATAGGAATTCAAGACTTTGAAGTTCAATTATTGGAAGACATGACTAATTTTTAACAACACTAATTTTTACCAGAATTCTCAAAGACACTTAGGTGTTGCTCTCATACATTGTTGGCAAAACCCCCCCCACAACTAAGCAACCAATCAACAATGAAAGAGTGCTTTTAAAACAGTATTTCCCGAGAGTTCCAAATGTATCTTTATAGATTAGCTCTTATGTTTATTGAAAATGGAACCTGCTACCTACCTGAAAAAGCTAACCAGCAAACAATGCTTGGTATTACTGTTAGATTGTGTTTATTTTCTGGCAAACCTTTAGGCTGGTGTTCTTCAATAAGAGGAAGGCTGAAACCATCTGCTGTCAGTTTAACAGATGGATAAAATGCACACACAGATGTGAGGGCCCAGAAAGGGGGGAAATGGACAAAGAGGTGTTGTGAGTGGCTGCAGTGCCACATCACACCTTTACCTGGCCACAGGCCCATAACCCAGAAACATGATCACTATTCTAAGGAAAGGTGCAGATGCCCCCACGCAGCAGTCCTCAGTGCCATGCCGAGAGGAGCCCGGCGGATGTCTGGGGTGCACATCACGCTGGTCCTCAGGCCGCGGTGACTCCTCCGCCTCTAGGTATGGGGGTGCGAAAAATCACTCGTCCCCGAGCTTGGGCCGCGGGGAGGTGAGGTGAACCTCAATGGCTCCACTCTCAGCGGGATGGCGAATGGGGGTACAAGCGGAGAAGCATGCTGCGGGCACACGAGTGGAGCGGGGCAGGCTGCAGGGAGCCGTTCCCCTACGCCTTCGACAACGGGGACCTCGGGAGGGGCAGGGAGGGGGCCGTTTCGCCTGTACCTGCGATTCCGGTGCCCAGAGGCGCAGTCTTCGGAGGCCGCAGTGATTCCTGCTGCGGGAAGAGGCCGCCTGCTTGGTGTTGCTGCTCGTCAGCCGAGCCTGAGCTGTTTGAACCGCTTCCCCCAAGGGGGGCCCCATCGCCACTCTCCGGGGCTCCCGCACCACCGGGGACAGCAGTGCCTTCCCAGCCCGCACCCCGGCGTCGGCCGGCACCCGGAGTTCGGTCGAAAACATCCGACATGCTCACGCTGGGGCAGCTCAAGCGCTTCTGGGAGGCAGCCGGCGAACGGCGTGGGGGCGGAACGGGGAGAGGGGCAGGGCGGCTGCTGAGTCCCGCCTTGCCGCGGCCCGAACCCTTCACTTTCAGTTTCACCCCCACCCCAGCGCCACGATGGTCGCGGACCAGCAAGGCTGACAGCGCCCCCTCGCGGCACTTGTCATGCCTGTCGCCATAGCAACCCCGGCGCAGGGACGGCAGCTCGACCGGGCCCGGGTGAGTGTCGCCCAGCTCGGCTGCCGCGGAGGAACAGAGGCTGTTACCGGACGCGAGGACAACCTAGCCTGTCCACAGCTCATAGGTCTGCACCCCCCACCACAGCACGGGATCGCTTTCTAGCTGGCTGCGGGTGTCAGCAGCCGGTTCCGGGGCCGCACCTCGTCACGCCTCCCAAACAGCAGGGAAGCTTGGGCACGGCATTTCTCACAAAACAGTATGTTCTCGTGATTGTTCCCCTGCAGGAACGCACAGCGCGAGGTGAGCCCACCAGCACCAAGACTGCTGCTACACGTAGCAGAAGACCTGTAGCTCCACTACGCACATATAGGCAGAGGAGAGGCGTTTGTGTGCACAGCTGCAGCCCGAGTTCTACGCTTGAGCCGCTAACATGGCAACATGATTGTACAGCTAGAGTCACTTCATATAAATATGCTTATTCAGAATAATGTATTTTCATGTATAATTGTGCATGACATGGTAACAAACTTATTCTGATATAACTTTTTAAACCTTCCACACCAACAGGAACTAACTGGAAGAGCCAATTATATATCTCTGTAATGCATTTTACAAATATTAACTAATATTTGCTAATATTTTGCTAATATCAACCCACATTAACTGTGGGTGACTGAGTTTAAGTGCCTGCTCACAATTTAATTCACCTATTCCTGTTCAGTTTTAGCCCAGAGCCTTAATCTACTCACTTTGCAAACTCCATCACAACACAATATGCTTTCAAGATGAGGCAGATAATGGAGACACAGGGTGCCCATAACACACCACAGCTGGTCCTGACCCCACAAAGGTGCTCTGTCCCTTCTACAGCCAAAGCCAAAGCCTGAGGTGGAGTCAGGTCAAACTCTGTTCATCACTCATGAGGGGGTGAAAAACCCCAAACAAACAGAATAGCATTGTCTTTTATTAAAAAAAAATAATAAATTGGATTGTAAAATGGTGCCTTTGAAAGTTATGTTCCTATTTGTTTTATTATTACATTTTACTCTTTTTAATTATTAATGGGGTGTTGGTGTAGGGTGTAAAACATTTGTGACTTCCACAAGGCATGAATTGGTCTGATTTTTGGTGAGAGACAGGCTTGGCCAGACAGTAAAGGTGACAGAGCTGAAGTTCATTATGCTCATGGGAAAACTGTTCCTAGGCAACCGTTACTGAAAGCCAGACTGGTAAACTAACAGATCTACACACTGCAAAGGAAATGAGAGCAACAGTAGGAGGTTTTGATGAGACAAAAAAATACCGGAATACTTCCCTTGTGTAAACAATTCTCAAAACCAGATCTAAGCAGCATTACCAACTCTTTAAAGAACACAAATTAGGTACTAAAATAACTAAATGGAATATATTCAGTAGTGTTGTCTTATTTCAGCTCCACTTTTAAAGCCCATGTTTGTGACCTCATGTCACATCTACAGACTTCACCTTACCAGGAGGATAATGAAAAGCTTACATTAATGTGAAAAAGGAAGCTGAGATTCTCAACCACTGGTCTTAGGCTCCTGAGGCTTTAAAGGAAAATCATCATTATACGCTGGCATCACTTTTTAATAGATCAATTTTTTGAAAAAGCAAATCTCATTCTTTAAGGTATACACCTATTGAGGGATTAAATGTTACTGAACAGGTAACTTTTCACCTGTGATCATAAATGTGAATTCTTCTTCTTAAGATAATTCTATATTATCTTAATTTAATGCCTGTTTGGCAACTACTTACCATTTAGAGTGGACTGTGATACCAGATCCATCTTTTCCTCAGAGATGTAGTACTGGGGATTGTACGAAAGCAGTTGTGTTTGGCTGGGGACCTGATTTCTCTTCCCTATTGTATACACCTAAACCAAAAATTAAAAAAAGGATATTTTCAGGCAATGAAATCCAAAATTACAATACCCAAAATACTACCTACAATAGCCAACTCTTTTAGACAATGCCTAAAATTCTGCTCAGAATGTTCTGGCCTGAGTAACTGCCAGTTACTTCAATCCTGTGATACCAAACAGCAGAAGACCCAAGATGGCTACACTAGTGAGACACCCAATGAACAATGAAAACTTTTAACAAATGCCATTATTACTTACAAATATCCATTTGTAAGGAGTTACCTGTTTTGTCCTAAGTGTGAGACCTAATAGTCTATCACTTAATTTTGAAGCAATATTGTACAAACCTGCAATGCCTGGTGCTGAGAAACCACAAACTGCAACTTTGTCACTATTCAGAACACAAGCACTTTTAAGATTTTTCTTTTTCTTTTTATGCGCACAACATATTTATAATTAGAAAAAAATGGAAAGGGCTAGTTCTACCTTTTAAAACTGAATATATTATGAATAATTGGTATTTTGCTGATCCCTGTTATATTGATAAGGCATGGCATTGCACTACTTACTGGTTACTGAGCCTGAAACATAGAGCACTCATATTAGTATATAAGGTGTAACTCTAGCGGGAATCTTCCCCACAGATTTATTTAAAAGCACAGTAGTCTTTTAAACATCTAGCAGCAGGGTATCCTATTAATTACTCTCAGAGAAATTTTGTTTCCAGAATCATTAACTTCACTTCTAGTCGTAAGTCATTGGTTTTGAGGCTGTATGACACCTCTGGCAATGCATGTTTTGCCCGAACAGTTACACTGATGTAAAGAAAGCACAGCACATACCTAGAATCTACAGACTGTGTGAAGTAAGACAAGACACACAGGCAACGGGAAAGCTGTCATCTGTAAAGTTCCTACTTAATAGCATGTTCTCTTCATTGATTCATGTATTATTTATACAGTTGCCAGAGTTCCTCTGTGTCTGTTATCCTCCCACATTGTATCTACCACTCTAACGCAGACACCAGCTCGCTGCTGTATCACACATCTGAAGAAATAACAATAATAAAGAAGATATCACCTATATGCCGTGGTGCTTGTCCGCAAGAAACCAGCCACGTTTCAGACACCTTCTTCGCAAGCCGCTGCCTCGACCTTCGCCTCCTCGCCCCAGTCACCGGCAGCCTGCCACGGCTGAGGGACGCGTCCGCCTGCTGCCAGCGCCCAGCACCTTCGGCCTCCACCAACGGCTGCGACGGCTCCAACCCCACCCGCGATGCCCCAGCTTCCTTCGGGAAACGCCTCGCCAGCGCCGCAGCACCGTCCTGAAGGCAGGGCCAGCGGGCGGAGCCGCCCCTCACTCGCCCGCCGCTGGCGGCACGCAAAGCACCACGTGACGGGCAGCCCCCTCCACTCCCCTCCCACTCGCGGACCGCCCCTACCAATGCGTTCCCCTCACTCCTTCCGGGTTGGCGTGCAGTGCACCCCCACACCCCCCCTACACCATCCCATCCCGTCCCGTCCCGTCCCGCCCCTCCAGCCCCACCCCACCCAACCCCGCACCGCGCTGGAGCTGCCGCGCCGCCTCGACCCAAGGTCGGTTAGTGCCGCGGCAGGGCCGTGCTGGCGGTACGGCTGGTGGGTGTCTTGCGGGATAGGGGCGGTGGCATGTTTGGTTTCTCACTGCTTGGCCGGGGACTGGCCCTTGCTGAGGGGGAGGGCTGCGGGGTCTCTTTCTCGCAGCGCCTGGGAGCCGCGGGAAGGAAGGGCGGTAGAGAGGAAGGAAAGACTTGGGGGAGGGAGGACGCGTAGAGAAGGCAGGTAACGCGGAAAGGGGCCCGCTGGCGGGCTCCAGGCAGGGAGCGAAGTGGCGGCTGCCGGCCTCCCCCTGGGCGAGCGCGATAGCCATTGTGCCGGGGAGGAAGGGGCGGGGGGCCCTGGCGGGAGAGGGGCGAGTCGCCTGCCCAACTAAGGTCTGTCAGTGGCCGTGGCTATAAATAGTAGCGGGAACAAAACGGGGGCTCTGTGGTGTGGGCAGGGCCGGTGGGGAAGCGGTGGTACCTCGCTGTGGGGAGGGAAGGGACGGCGCGTTAGACCCGGCTGGGTGTCGGGCGAGGAGCCCTGGCATCCGTAAGCAGTCAGTACCCGCCTGCTGAAGACGGCGTCCCGGCTCCGCTGCCCTCTGCCCTGCTTGTCCCATCCCGAGTGCCTGCTCTGGGATGTGTCCGGAGCGCCCGTGAGATGCTGTCCCGCAGCGGGTAACTGTTCTGAGGACTCTGGTAGGGGATTGAATTGTTTGGTTCTGCGTCCCCAGGAAGTTTACACGTGTCAAAGATCCTGGTTTACAGGGATGGTGTGAGGAGAATGCAGTCTTTGAGCACAGAATGCGATTTCTAGGTCAACTTATTATAATGTAAACCCTGCTGTGGTCTTGTTACTTTAGTTCGCTAGTTGCCTCAGTTAAAAAGAAAGTTCTAGCTAGGAAGAAAAGGGGAGAAATGATCATCTCATGGCTACTGGCAGTAGACAAGGACTTAGGCTACTGAGTTTACATGCCTTCTGTCTTGTATCATTAATAATTCTTGCTTTGTTTTTATGTGTGCAGCCCGAATTCCATAAGTGGCAAGGAGTCTGCTGTAAGGTCTGGGCAAAATGGCGAGCCTTCTGCGTGCTGCTGTTAGTGGGTGCTCCGCTCCTGTTTTCAGCAGTGTCTTACCACCTAATGTGCATTCTGCAAAGATGCCACGATTGCGAATGTTTAGAACCCACAGGATGCTCACGACTCGGGCAGTTCTAAAGCCAGGTAAATAGATTACACTATTGTAAATAATATTTTATTTTAAAACATGGAGATAGATTCAATTTTTCTTTCAGACATGCATTAGTACAGAAGAGACTTAAAAAGAGCGCCCTTAAATCATGTCAGTAGCATGCTTGGGTCAGATGCAGTACAATTTTACGCTGGTTTTAAAGGGGGTACATGAAAGGTGTTTGTGTTTTTTATGAACACTTTTCTTAATAAAAAGCCTGAGTTTCCCAAGAGGTGTGGTTGTGCAACTCTTTGTGTGCATGCAGGGGAAAATAGAGCCCTTACAGAGAGGGGATCTGCAAGCATGACTATATGTAGATGCAGCTATCCCATCTAAAAAAAAATCTTTTTTTTCAGAAAACTTACGTTGCACTGCCTTGAAGAACTTTCGATCTGCATCTTCACATGTAGGGTTTGTTGCTGTGTTTGCACTAATTATGTTTATGGGCAGATAATGGCAGGCTCAGGTATTTTCCGGAGAGAGAAAAAAAAAAAGAAGGGGGGGAGTGGAGGGATGTCCTTGGTTCCAGTTTATGATGTGAACCTGCTGCATGAAAATCAGAACTGACTTTGTTTTTTTCCCTATGCAGTGTATAGCCTGAGAGCTAGAGGACTGGAGAATATATAAAACTGATTTAATCATATTTTTGCCCATTATCCTGCATGGGTCATGCTTCCCTGAAGGAATTTAGAGACCCAGCTGCAGTGCAGATCTAGGATCTTCTCAGTCTGCGACAGATTAATGTGGAAAGTTAGACACTGTACACGTGATGTTCAGTTCTTCCAGATATGCACAGTAGGTAACTGCATTAGATATCTTAGAAAAGTAGTGCTGTTTGTGGATTGAAGTGTCTGGTTATGAAAACACAGGACACAAAACGAGACTAGATAACTCTGAGAAGCCTTTGTTGCATGGAATTTCTGGCAGTACTAACAATGGCTGGTGCGTTCTGGGGTCCTCTCAAATCAGTGAGCCAATGATTTGGAGCGTCTGAAGAAATGTGGTGAGAGGAAGAGTTTCTTTAGTCCCAAGGGCTCCTTATAATTGGTATCGCATGGTTTTTTTACCACAGTTGCATGGTGAACCTGAATTTCTTTGCTCTGACTGACAGATTTGTGATGCTCCAAAAATTTTTTTCATATTAAGTACCGAATGAGACATCTGTCTGTCTTGATATGGCAAATTGACCCTTGGTTGGTGGTGTTAATCTGGGATGTAGAAAACTAGGTTCAAGGTTCTTTCTCAAATGTCCCAGGTAAGTGCCCTTGTTGTTGTTTGAGTTTGGAATCAATCTTGTAGTTGACTTTGACCACAAATTTGATCATGAAACTGCAAGATCTCTTCAGTTTTACTGAAGTGAGTATGCTTGTCTCTGTCTCTCATGTGTCTGCGTTTTTCTGTTTTTATAAATTGCTCTTCAGAATGTTTTCCACAAGGACAGAGAATTCTGATAAGTGTCATGTGTTCAAGCATTCAGTGCTCTGAATGTCTCTTCACATCTGTCATGTGAAAGTCCTTATTTAAGAGCGAATAGTGTTCATGCAATGCAGTTAGTTAATGTTGAGAATTAAGTTGGGGAAGTATTTTGGTTGATAATTAAGCTGTTCTCATAGTTAGTTTTGGTAACATGAGATCTGTCACTCAGTAGGGGACAAATCAAGGATAAACCAGCCATTGACTGACGAATTACTGGCAGTACTGTTGCCTATGTATACTTTTTAAGTGCTCTTGAATCAAAATTTAACAGCTTAGAAAATAACTACATTTTATTCTTTTAGAAGTTATAAGTGACACTTGATAAAATCACTGTAATACTAGGAACAGTCAGTTTTCCGAAAAGACCGCTGTCACAGTAATTCTTGTTAAACCTGTGTTGTTACTTCCGTTTTCTCAGATTAGCTTTCATTTAATCCAGGATATGTTATGTACAGGAACAACAGCTACTTCAGGTGTGAAGGGACTTGGAGTCAGTTGAAAAGTAAACTTGGAAGATGGATACTTTTCTTACGGCTGTTTAATTTGCTTTCTGCATTCCTTAGAAACATAGGCATTTTCATACAGGAGTAAAAAGTATTCCTGCAGTCTATCTCAAATTGTTGCTAGCACAAGGTGCTTGAGAAACAGATGCAAAACTTTCCCAAGCCCTGAGAAGGGTGACCGACTGACAAGTTTCCAATGTACTTCCAGATTCATTTGCCTTAGAGCTCTGTGTCTTTCACCCATCTCTATCTTGGCATTTTTAATGTAATTTTAATTTTTATTCTTCTTTCTTAAAAAGGCATTTCCCCCCCGCCCCCGTGTAGCCGAACTTTTAAACCTTACAGCAGTGTATTATCAACTTACTCTCTTGATAAGCTGTACATTATTTATAAATCATAGGTATTCTCCATTAATTTCCTTGGTTTTTTTTTTATATCCCCTTGCTTGTGTAAGAAGAGGGATCAGGCTTTTGTTTAATATTCTGTACCATCCTTTAGGGTTTTTTTTTGGTTTTGTTTTTTCTGATTTTCCCAACATCATATTGATGTTCTTTGGAACATGTCCTCATCTTCAGAACAGGTGAGATGTTTGGTTTAAGGCTGATGTTAGAGTAACTTATAAAATAAACAGGTTACATATCCTGTTTTCCTATCCCAGAACATATGGCATATAGTCAAAACTTCTCTTTTCTCTAAGTCTGTTGGTGGTAATACTTTCCTCCAGACTTCTTCCTGAAATCAGGTTAGGGGACTAAAAATCTCTATTTTTCTCTATTTCTCTACATAAAATGTTCTAAGTTTTCTTGCTAGTTTTAGCTTATGATCTTCTTTAAACACCTGGTTTGTAGATAAAAGTTAAATGGAGATCATCACTTCTGTGATGATAGTTATTTTTGTTTGATTTCTGGAGCTTGAAGATTTAGATTACCTACTTACTTTGCTTACTTGAAGTTTGAGACTTGTCTTCATTACACAGTTGAAATTATGGTAGGGGTCTTACTAGTTTTCTATATTCCACACTAAGATTTTTAGGCCTGTGAAATTTATTTTACCACTTCTGGTATTGGCGGTGTCCTTTTGCTGTTGATTCTCTGTATAAAAAAAAAAAAAAAGTGGTGTATTTCCTACAAAATGAACAGTACATTCAGAATCTTCATGTGACTCAAAAAAGACTCTCAAGGTATGTGTGTAGTGGTCGGTTTCTGGAAAATCTTCTTCATGTGATAAAGCAGTTCTTAAATTTTTGGATGTGGAAGCTTAAATCAGGCAATTCTTAAATTATAGGATGTGGAAGCTTAGAAAGGCAACTTGGAAGCTTCACATTCTTATGCAGTTTAAAATGCATGGGAAGGACTGCAGATGTTCTTTCTTGAAATAAAATCTCAATAAAGATCCTAAGTTTATGATTATAGATTTAAACTTTTCAAAACTAATAACTTCCATAATATTGCTGAGTTTAATAAGCCAAATCTGTGCTCACAGTATAGTTATTATTCACAAATAATATTTATTGTAGCCTGTCCTGAAGTTTTAACATAGGTCTTTCCTTTGCAGTTGTAGACATTTGCTTCGTTTTGGTGTTGAATGATGTGATAGCTTGGTATAGTCTTCTTGAAAAATGTCCTGTACCTGCTGTAGCTAACTGCTGGCAAACTGATGGTTCTTTCCTTTTGTGTTCATGTGCCTTTATATTTGCTGTTTGCTAGAAATTTAGTAGTGGGACAGAGGAGAAGAGAAGGTGAGAGGCAAATGAGACTTGTTGAATGTTTATCTTGGATTTGATCTCCCAAAGCATCGGATGAGGACATAGTCATGGAATCATAGAATAGTTAGGGTTGGAAAAGACCTTAAGATCATCGAGTTCCAAGTCCCCTGCCATGGGCAGGGACATTTCACACTAAATCATGTCACCCAAGACTCTGTCCAACCTGCCCTTGAACACTGCCAGGGATGGAGCATTCACAGCTTCCCTGGGCAACACATTCCAGTGCTTCACCACCCTTACAGTAAAGAACTTCTTCCTTATACCCAGTCTAAACTTCCCCTGTTCAAGTATGAACCCATTACCCCTTGTTCTGTCACTACACTCCCTAATGAGGAGTCCCTCCCAAGCATCCTGTAGGACCCCTTCAGATACTGGAAGGCTGCTATGAGGTCTCCACACAGCCTTCTCTTCTCCAGGCTGAACAGCCCCAACTTTCTCAGCCTGTCTTCACACGGGAGGTGCTCCAGTCCCCTGATCATCCTTGTGGCCCTCCTCTGGACTTGTTCCAACAGTTCCATGTCCTTTTTATGTTGAGGACACCAGAACTGCACACAGTACTCCAAGTGAGGTCTCACGAGAGCAGAGTAGAGCAGCAGGATCACCTCCTTCAACCTGCTGGTCGTGCTCCTTTTGATGCAGCCCAGGATACGGTTGGCTTTCTGGGCTGCAAGCGCACACTGCTGGCTCATGTTCATTTTCTCATCGACCAGCACCCCCAAGTCCTTCTCCGCAGGGCTGCTCTGAATCTCTTCTCTGCCCAACCTGTAGCTGTGCCTGGGATTGCTCTGACCCAGGTGTAGGACCTTGCACTTGGCATGGTTAAACTTCATGAGGTTGGCATCAGCCCGCCTCACAAGCCTGTCGAGGTCCCTCTGGATGGCATTCCTTCCCTCCAGCGTATCAACCGAACCACACAGCTTGGTGTCGTTGGCAAACTTGCTAAGGGTGCTCTCAATCCCACTGTCCATGTCACGGACAAAGATGCTGAACAAAACCAGTCCCAACACCGATTCCTGAGGGACACCACTTGTTGCTGGTCTCCAGCTGGACATTGAGCCATTGTCCACAAGTTTTTGCATGCGGCCAGCCAGACTGTTCTTTATTCACTGAGTGGTCCACCTATAAAATTTATGTCTTTCCAATTGGATGTTGTCCAGGACAGTGTCGAACACTTTGCGCAAGTCCAGGTAGATGACATCAACTGCTCTACCCCTGTCCATCAGTTCCGTAGCCCCATCATAGTCCTCAGTATTGGTCTCTGATCGTTCTCCTTGCCAAATAAGTTGCACAAATAGTTTCACCTGTTTTTATTTCATGCAAGATGTACCAACATGAAAAGGAGAAATAAGGAAACACATTTAGCATACAGTGAGAGCATATTCTTGTCCCATCACTCTTAGACTTTTACTGTGGTACCCCACACAAAACAAGAGAGCAAAAAGAAACCAGAAGCATGTATTGTCATTTGAGCCATAGGAGATTAAAAAAAAAAAAGAAAAATATCTACATGTTTTTTCTTGAGAAGTACATAATCTTTAGCCAAGTTTGTGTGCCTTTGAATTTGCAGTTATCCTTTTATCCCCTTTATGCTATAATTCCTTCCTTTCTCTGAATTTGTGTGCTGCAGAAACTTAGAGAAGCAGAAGGGGAAGGTATCACTCCAGTTCTTATTTTCTTAGCACTTCTTGAAAAGCTATTTGCCTTCTATCCTAGAGCTACTTCCTTTGGAATTATGATTGGTCTCTTTAACAAATTTTAATCTTTTAGGTTTCATTTCTGGTTCTAAAAGACAACAGAGCCTATTTCCACTGAACTGATTTAGTGAAAATCAGAAGCAGAACTTCATTGTGTACTAATCAGGAGAAGAGATGAAGAGAAAATTCTTTTCAAATGACAAGGGTGATTTGTATGAGTGACAGCAACAGTTACTGTGGCTTTAAAGTGGTTAGTGCTGCTGTGATAGGGATGCCCTGAGCTGCACAGTTTGCACAGTGATGATTATATGTGGTGTATGCTGATGAAAGAAATCTTTGCAAAGCATTGTTACCTTTGTGGGTCTGTTGTTTTAGATGTGCATTCTCACTCCTGCTGTGACTTCATGTTCCCTTAAATCATGTTTTTCTGAATTTGATTTTTGTCTTGTAATTTAAAAAAATTTAAATGTTTTCCAACATACAAAATATCACAATACTCTGTCTTCAAATTATTTGTTACTATTTTATTAGTTCCGTTTCAAAGAGAAAGCTAAAAAGAAAAAAGGTAAAAATAATTAGAAGTAATGCACTTTTTTGTGAACTCTGTCATCTTGTTGGATATGTTCAACCATTTTTTTTTTTAATGGATTAGAAGACTGACAAGTACATACAGATATGTAAGTACCAGTTCTTAGCAGTTTTTTTTCAGAACATTATAGGTTGATAGTATCTTGAAAGTTGTTAAACCATTTTCAGATGTTCAACTTTAAACACTTTATAGTCCTAGTTTTTATTTCAGATTTAGATTTTAAAATATCAAACTAACTCAGTTCCTCCAAGTTCTTCTAGTGTGGTATGGTTTGGCTTTGTTTTGCTTGTTTCTATCTTAAACAAACAGGAAAAAAAAAGTGAAAAGGAGGCCTTCCTAAAACATGCAACACATTACTAGTGTGCTACAATGTTTGTAGCAGAATACATAGTTTAGGGACAAAATGAAAAGCAGATCTGTAAATTAAACAAACCTCTCATCCCCTTCCTCTCACCCTTTTTTTTTTGTTTTGTTTGTTTTTGCTGCTTGATCTTTAGTATCTGTGACTGCTTAGGCACGTATGTTTCATTAAACTATATGCGGTGCAAGTGGCTCATGTACAAATGTCACAATCCAGGTTTAAATTCTAGATAGCACTGAAAGCTGATGAAAAACTGGGCCTGCGTGCTGGACTGCATGCTGTTGAGTATATTTAAAACAGTAATTTGATTTATAAGTATACTGCTTGAGTCTGTGTATTTATAAATTATGTATTTAAGCACTTAATTTGATCAGATATTGTACTAGAAGTCCACAAATTGTATGTGAACAATTACAAAGATATTTGTAATTTGAAACCTTAAGCTAAAACTGATAGATTGCAGCCTCAGCATTTTGCTGATGTTACTTAGAAGAGCTTTGAACAAGTTAAGGCAAGGAAGTAATATTGAAGGGAACTATAATTGAATAAACTAGTAGACAGATATTCCATTATTCTTCCACTACTCCTGAATTCACTGATTTTTGTCTCTGTACAAATTGTAAGAGTACGTTATAGATACAGTTGTGTCTTTCAATGTCTTTTGTAGTATTTAAATTACATTCATTAGTAGGTATCAGAGACAACTGTATTTTGATAAACATTAAAAACATGCTCATTTAAAATGCAGTTCAGATGAACAAACTGATTTGTTTATTTCTTCACAATAGTGAGTAGAGAGAGATTTAAACCCTTCTGACCCCAGGTAGAATGTGTTATCACCAGAACACCATGTAAAGTATAAGTCAGAATGACAGTTACACAGTCAGAACTATAACTTCAGATTGGTATGAACTTCACCAAGCACTTCTTACTGCTTGTGTGGTTGATTGGGCTGATCTGTCAATTCCTGAGAGAACAAGGATCTCTAGCAAAGTGGTGTAATTTAAGGAAATGTAAACTACAGTGCCAGGAAAGATCATTCTACTTCTTCCTGCATTAGGAGGGAGAACTGGTAAGTATGACATGTCTGCATGTGTCTGTACAACACTGAATAGTGCCATTAATATCAATTTATTAATCTTTGCAACTAATGCTGTCTTATCTGCCACTCTTACAGGAATTCCGTATAAACAGCTGACTGTAGGTGTCCCCAAGGAGATATTTGAGAATGAGAAGAGAGTGGCTCTATCACCAGCTGGAGTTCAAGCCTTGGCCAAACAAGGCTTCAACGTTGTGGTGGAATATGGTGCTGGAGAAGCTTCCAAATTTTCTGATGACCAGTACAGAGAAGTTGGAGCAAAGATCCAGGGGACCAAGGAAGTCCTAGCTTCTGATTTGATTATCAAAGTAATTGCTTTATTAATATATTTCCTATTACATTCTTTTTGGAGAAACATAAAGGTAATTTTTTTTTCTGCTAGAGTGCTGAAAGTTCAGTAAGTAAGTTAGAGTTTTCCTCTGATTCAATTTTCTTCTTTTTTTTTTTAATACCTCAGGTGTACACCTGCAGTAATAAGCTAGTAAATGGCAGCATTGAAAAGAGTTAGGATAATTACTTACCAAGTTTTTAACAAGCTTGGAGGTGTTGTATTTCATAGAATCATAGAATAGTTAGGGTTGGAAAGGACCTTAAGATCATCAAGTTCCAGCCCCCCCTGCCATGGGCAGAGACACCTCACTCTAAACCACATCATCCAAGGCTCTGTCCAGCCTGGCCTTGAACACTGCCAGGGATGGAGCATTCACAACCTCCCTGGGTAACCTATTCCAGTGCCTCACCACCCTAACAGGAAAGAATTTCGTCCTTATATCCAGTGTGGCAGGCTACTAGTTCTAGACTAATCAAATGAGGTCCCTGCTTAAGAAACTTTCACTGCAAAAGTAGCAACATACAACTGAGATTATTCTTTAGAGAGAGTTGCTTGGAATTCTGAAGATGCTGGTTTCTAACTTTTCTCAATCAGGCATCCAGCAATTCCACAACTGAGCATTTCAGAAGTTTTTATAACTAGATGAATTGTAGTTGATCTAGGAGAGCTACTAGAAGTGAAGTTGCTTGTGAGGTATTAGGTTGTGTAAAGTTCTGAAGGAAAATGGAAAAAGACCTTAAACTTGTTGCTGAGGCTTCTTTTAACTGCTTTATTTAAAGTTATCCTGTCAGGTTTGAACATAGAATTTCTGTGAGCTGCTTTGTCAACAATCCTTTTAGGTAGGTTTCTTTTTGAAGAAAAGTGAGAAACTCAAAAAAGTATTGAGTACAGATAAAGATGAGTATCTGCTGGACTTCATGCTTGAAATTCTCTGTATGCTGTGCTGCATTGCAAACTGATAAGTGATTCTTAGCCTGTAGAGCTTAATGGCACGTCTACTCAGTAATAATTTTGCTTAAAAATTGTGTGTTTGGGGCAGCTATCTGTCATAAAAGCCACTAACTGCTGGTTAGAAGCCATCATATCTTTCTGAAGGTGTGATGGCTATTACTGCTCTCTCACCAATCTGCCTAGAGCTAATTCTAATACATGGATTGCAGTTAAGAACTGCAGTTACTCAGTTGTGTTCATTTGTGTAAACAGTTCAGTTATGTAAACAGACTTTGGTATACTTCTATCCTTGTGTACTTTATGGATGGGAACAGACAGCTGCAGGTGAGCAGGAAGAAAGTTCAGTTTTCCGATTTATTTCTTCTGATTAATTTGGAAACTTCTCTCTTCAGGTGAGGGCTCCTATATATAACTCAGCTCTAGGTGTGCACGAGGCAGATCTTTTTAAGACGGCTGCTACTCTGATTAGTTTTATCTACCCAGCACAAAACCCAGACCTCCTGAAAAAACTTGCAGAGAAAAAAACTACTGTCTTGGCTATGGATCAGGTTCCACGGATCACCATTGCTCAGGGATATGATGCACTTAGCTCCATGGCCAACATTGCTGGGTATGAATCTTACTCTTTTTTTTTTTTTTTCTTTCAGCTCGAGTAAGTATGGCTGGATTAAAAGCTATGTTCTTTGGTATTGGGTATATACAAAACAATTCTGTACCTCTGTTTTCATATAGTTGTTTCACAGAGGAGGACGCTGTTGGAGGTGCCAACCAACTTAAATTTATTATGGTCAGATTTGCAGTAGATCAGAAAAAAGCCTACAGAAAAATTAAATAGACAAAGTTGATGGCAGTCCTTTTAATTCCGTGACTGCTTTCTCTAGTTTATTTTTTATTTTTTATTTTTTTTTTTTGTCTGAGCTAGATCTGAGCAGGCTCAAGTTATCTTTGAGAAAGCTTGAACACAGGTTGTCTGTCATTGAGATCTGGTGGTGTTGGGAGCTCACTGACCCAAGCAGCAATGCAGTATGAATGTAATTGCCATGGCAGATACAAACAAAAGACCAAATACTGTCAGGCATCTTCATGCTTTGTGACTGGTATTGTAGGTATTCCAGTGCATTAAAATGTTGTTGTCATGAAGCTGACTTCTATTATTAGATTCTTTATTGCTTTTTATTTTTTTTTTTGACTTTTTACTTAGATGATGTCTGTGAGGCATAGTAAACCTTGGAGAAGGCTACCAGATTTTGTGGACACCAGCATTATACATCTGAGCACATGTTTGGTTACTTCTCTGTGTTTCATTCTGTGTAATTTTACTAAAATACAGAAATTCGTACTGTTTAAAAGTATAAAATCTGCAACCTGTATTCCAAATTAGAACTAATTTTTTGTCATACAGACCTACATATATTCCTGCTAGAGACAGTAAAAAGAATGGAATGGGGCTGTTGAACACAACACTGTTAGTAACAATGCAAGAAAATGTGCACTGTTGTTAATAAAAGACACATTACACATTAATTTGCATTTTTTGATAGCTCTGTTGATGTTAACTTGGCATCCAGCCACCCGTTCTTGAATGGCTACAGAGCAGATGGGGCAAAAGAAGTAGCAAGCTTAAGCTATTTGGCCTAAACTATATAGCTCTGCAGAGTTAGGGTCAGAGTATCTTGTTTAAATGTGTGCTTGTTTGTCTAAGTGAGTTTACTGCAGAATTGCTCTGGGTTTTGCAATTGCTTGTTCATGCTTCGTTCTTGCTTGTTCATGCTTCAGGTTACATCCTTTAACGATAGCTTCAAAGACCACAGAGTTAACTGTTAGCAAGTTATGAGTATATTGTTCAGGTAAAATTTAATTTGAGAGAGTGAATGGTTGTGGACATCCAGTATATGGCATTCTAAAAATTATGTCTGAAAATGCATCCCCGCCCCCACCCCCCCCCCCCCCCCCAAGAAAAAGAAAAAAAAAAAGAAATAGACTATTAAGCTTGTGCTCAACAGTAGAATATTGATCTTGCTTTATCCTGTGTAAGCTATGGTCAAATGTTTATTCTTTTGATTGCTGTCATGAATGGAATTGTACTGACCCTAGGAAAATACTGATATGTGTTCATCCTTAATTGACAGTTACAAGGCTGTGGTACTGGCAGCAAATCACTTTGGTCGATTTTTCACGGGTCAGATCACAGCTGCTGGTAAAGTTCCTCCAGCAAAGGTATGTGCAATTAAACAGATACTGTGGTAGAAGAAAATGTGAGTTCCTGAGCGCAGCTAACGACTGCTGAAACTGTCTTAAAAGGCTTTTTTTGTGCCTTGGGGCTAGTTCTAGAGACTTCAGAAATTCCTGTAGTTATTCCCATAACAATTTTTGTTCACTACCTGTAGTGTTGGTGTTTTGGGGAATAATAGAATAATGTGAGTTTTATTTTAATTTGCTTAGTTTTGAACTTCAGACTATTTATACCTGGATGGATTTCCCCCTTCTCCCCAGATGAGGAAAGGCAAGGAAGCAGTTCAGAAAAGTCAGAGATGTTGGGATTTCTGGTGCATTGAAGGCTATGATTGAAGGGATTGCTGGATTGGAATTGCAGGTGGATTGGGTTGAAGGGAAATGGAAGTAGAATTAGGGAAGGGGAAAAAAAAAAGGAGAAAATGTACTTACATAAACTGTTAGCTGCAGATGAATTGGCTTTCAGATAAGTGAAGTTAGGAGTTGCAGCTTTTAAAAGATTATGGGGCAGCTTTACCAAAGTAATTTTGTGTTCTATATCTTAAGGTAGCTTGTTTAAATGGTAATACAATGATGCTGCTTTTCTAACCAGCTCTAGTTTTAGGTAATGTTACAAATACAATGATTGTATCATTCTAGGTCTTGATTATCGGAGGAGGAGTTGCTGGTCTGGCTTCTGCAGGAGCAGCTAAATCGATGGGTGCAGTGGTTCGTGGATTTGATACTAGGTAGGTGTATGAAAATGGTAATAGCAATCTGACGTTATTTTAAGGTTAAGTGGTTTGAGTCAGTATTGCAGTGAAAGCACTTGTACTGCACTGAATCACAGTTCCTTTCCTGCTATTTTTATTCCATCTTTATTCCTCCATTTTTTTATACTTCAAAAAAAAACCCCAAATATTCCAAGAAGTCCTTATCATTGCATCATTCAGAAGTACAGGAATAAAAAAATAATTGCTTTATGAGAGTGAGAAAGGTAGGGCTTTTATCCATAATTCCATGTCTCTGTTCTTCTTGGGGACACAGAGGAATAGTAAAGAAATAATCTATATGCCCTTATTTATAGATTGCTTTGATCCAGGTTCATAGCTGCATATTCTTCATTTGTTTCCTCTTTCCTGATCCAAGAAAGGCCAGCTGGGAAGTCTTTGGAGAGACTCTCTCCTTCAGCAGGCTGAAAGAAGCAAGAGATCAAGTTATTTTATTTATAAATCTCAGGATGAAAGAACAGGAAATGCATCTAAAGCTGTTTCAAATTCTGCTTTCTTTGGGTCTCTTCCTTATGTTTGGAAGGATTATTTTGTCCTATAGCCATTTTTTAGAGCAGTAGAATGGAAAAATTACAGAGCACAAACATTTGTCTTACAGCTCTGGGGACTACAAACTGGATTATTTTCTATTAAATGGTCTTATATTGAATTTCTATGTGCTTAATACTGTATTTGCATTAAAATTACTTATATATGTTTGATTTTATGCAGAAGTGGCATTTAGTGCTTCTTAACTATATTTAATAAGAAAGAGTAAAAGTGATCTGGTTTGAGACCATCCTAAGAACCTGAATGTGCACAAGTCCATGGGACCTGATGAAATCCATCCGTGGGTCGTGAAGGAGCTGGCAAATAAAGTACTAAGCCACTGTCCATCATATTTGAAAAATCATGGCAGTCAGGTGAAGTTCCTGATGACTGGGAAAAGGGTAATACAGCCCGCATTTTCAGGAAGGGAAAAATGGATGACCCAGGGAGCTACAGACCCCAGTCAGTCTCACCTCTGTGCCTGACAAAATCTTGGAGCAGATTCTCCTGAAAGACATGCTAAGGCACATGAAAAACAACAAGGTGCTTGGTGACAGCCAGCGTGGCTTCACTAAGGGGAAATCCTGCCTGACCAATGTGGTGGCCAGTGATGGGGCTATGGAACTGATGGACAGGGATAGAGCAGTTGATGTCATCTACGTGGACTTGTGCAAAGTGTTTGACGCTGTCACACAAGGCACCCTTGTCTCTAAATTGGAGAGACATCAATTTGATGAATGGACCACTCGGTGGATAAAGAACTGGCTGGATGGCCGCATGCAGAGTTGTGGTCAGTGGCTCAATGTCCAGTCAGATACCAGTAAAGAGTGGTGTCCCTCGGGGATCTATGTTGGGGCAGGTCTTGTTCAACATCTTTGTTGCTGACATGAACAGTGGGATTGAGTGCACCCTTAGCAAGTTTGCCGATGACACCAAGCTGTGTAGTTCGGTTGATACGCTGGAGGGAAGGAATGCCATCCAGAGGGACCTCGACACGCTTGTGAGGTGGGCTGATGCCAACCTCATGAAGCTTAACCATGCCAAGTGCAAGGTCCTACACCTGGGACCGAGCAATCCCAGGCACAGCTACAGGTTGGGCAGAGAAGAGATTCAGAGCAGCCCTGCAGGGAAGAACTTGGGGGTTTTGGTTGATGAGAAATTTAACATGAGCTGGCAGTGTGTGCTGGCAGCCCAGAAAGCCAACTGTGTCCTGGGCCGCATCAAAAGGAGCATGACCAGCAGGTCGAAGGAGGTGATCCTGCTGCTCTGCTCTGCTCTCGTGAGACCTCACTTGGAATATTGTGTGCACTTCTGGTGTCCTCAACATAAAAAGGAATGGAACTGTTGGAACAAGTCCAGAGGAGGCCCACGAGGATGATCAGGGGACTGGAGCACCTCCCGTGTGAAGACAGGCTGAGAAAGTTGGGGCTGTTCAGCCTGGAGAAGAGAAGGCTGCGTGGAGACCTCGTAGCAGCCTTCCAGTATCTGAAGGGGTCCTAAAAGGATGCTTGGGAGGGACTTGTCATTAGGGACTGTAGTGACAGGACAAGGGATAATGGGTTAAAACTTAAACAGGGAAAGTTTAGATTGGATATAAGGAAGAAGTTTTTTACTGTGAGGGTATTGAGGCACTGGAATGGGCTGCCCAAGGAAGTTTTGATTTCTCCCTCTCTGACGGTGTTCAAGGCCAGGTTGGACAGAGCCTTGGGTGAGATGGTTTAATGTGAGGTGTCCCTGTCCATGACAGGGGGGTTGGAACTAGATGATCTTAAGGTCTTTTCCAGCCCTAGCTGTTCTATGATCCTATGATTCTGTGAATGTATCTCCAGATTTATGATGCGCAACATGAAAAAACCTTCACTCTGGTTTGTTAAAAAATCTGCATGTGACTTAAAACAAACTAGAAGGAGTTTGTTTTTCCTAAAGGCATGATCAAAACTTGTCTAAACCTTTTTACAGTTTTTTTTTTAATTCCCTTCTTAAGCATCCTTTATGCTTTTATGTTGGTGTGCAAGAATTTTGTCTTAAATCTAACGTGTTGTCAGTGTTCACCTAACTCTGAAATTTCGACCCATTATTTACTGTGATACCACGTGATGAAAAATAAATACCAGATTTTCAGGATAACTGTTAAACCCCAAAACCTCGGAACCCAAATAAATCCTCAAACCGACGACCCCTTAGCCCCTAATCTCCCAGTTTTCCCTGTGAAAATAAGACTTACTAGTTCCCATTTAACAAATTAAAGGTGGGGCCACAGGTTGTGTATTTGTCACCTCTCCTTGGCATCTAAGTTTGGGCTGTAGATGTACCTGGGCATGACAAGAGAAATGGGTAAGCGGAGTTAGTCAACAGTTAAGCTCCGAGCTTTGAGACTTTTATTGGAGCAATGCTGCTGAGTGTACAGGAAACCTTGGCTGCCTTTATTCCTTACCCAATTATTATTAGGGACCTAAAGTTAGTGATGCAATTACTTTTTTCACTTTAATAAAGTTTAGGACTTCACAGTATCACAGTATCACAGTATGTTAGAGATTGGAAGGGACCTCAAAAGATCATCTAGTCCAATCCCCCTGCCAGAGCAGGAACACCTAGATAAGGTTACACAGGAACGTGTCCAGGCGGGTTTTGAATGTCTCCAAACAAGGAGATTCCACAACCTCCCTGGGCAGCCTGTTCCAGTGTTCCGTCACCCTCACTGAGAAGAAGTTTCTTCTCAGGTTTAAGTGGAACCTCTTGTGCTCCAATTTGTACCCATTACCCCTTGTCCTTTCATTGTTTGCCACTGAGAAGAGCCTGGCTCCATCCTCGTGACACTCCCCCTTTATATATTTATATACACTAATAAGGTCACCCCTCAATCTCCTCTTCTCCAAACTATAGAGACCCAGCTCCCTCAGTCTTTCCTCATAAGGGAGATGCTCCAGTCCCTTAATCATCTTAGTTGCCCTGCGCTGGGCTCTCTCCAGCAGGTCCCTGTCCTTTTTAAACTGAGGGGCCCAGAACTGGACACAATATTCCAGATGAGGTCTCACCAGGGCAGAGTAGAGGGGAAGGAGGACCTCTCTCGACCTACTAACCACCCCCCTTCTAATACAACCCAGGATGCCATTGGCCTTCTTGGCCACAAGGGCACAGTGTCGGCTCATGGTCACCCTGTCGTCCACCAGGACCCCCAGGTCCCTCTCCCCTACACTGCTCTCTAACAGGTCGTTCCCCAATCTATACTGGAACCTGGGGTTGTTCCTGCCCAGATGCAGGACTCTACACTTTCCCTTGTTATATTTCATCAAGTTATTCCATGCCCAGCTCTCCAGCCTGTCCAGGTCCCTCTGGATGGCAGCACAGCCTTCTGGCGTGTCGGCCACCCCTCCCAGCTTAGTGTCATCAGCAAACTTGCTGATAGTACACTCAATTCCCTCATCTAAATCGTTGATGAATATATTAAATAATACTGGTCCCAGTACCGACCCTTGAGGCACTTGTGATCTCCTTAATCCTAGAGTAAGTTTTAGATCTCTTGTGTGGAGACTGCTAGTAGAAAAACCAGAAAAGTCATGGTGGATTTTCATGGCAGCAGGTGTTTTCTTCCCTGCAATTTTATTTTCTTAGAGCTGCAGCTCTGGAACAGTTCAAGTCTCTTGGGGCTGAGCCTTTGGAGGTTGACTTAAAAGAATCTGGAGAGGGACAAGGTGGTTATGCTAAAGAAATGTCCAAAGAATTTATTGAAGCTGAAATGAAACTCTTTGCCAAACAGTGCCAAGATGTTGATATCATCATCACTACAGCTCTTATTCCAGGTATGGTTTATGTGCAAGATGCTGATTTTCATTTATCTTGTGTAAGTTGGCATGTTTTGGAGCTGTGCCTGCAGTGAAAACAGAGGTGTTACTGAATTATTTCAGTGCTACCATCTACCTTTTAACTTCCCCAATAATGCCTGTTTCTGAAGCATGTGTCTTTTTTTGCAGCTTTTGTTTTCACAAGCTAGCAGTCTTTGACTCAATACCATGTTCTTCTATTGAACAAGGAATAGATGGTAATAAAATAAGAATATGTAGTTCTGTTGTGTATTTATTGCATCACTGCTACTGCTGCTATCCAGCTTGTGCACAGAAATGAATCCGAACAAAACAGTACGGTCTTTGGTAATTGAAACACAGTAAGATAGAGCTTACTATTTGTGTTGCACAACATATGTATTTTGATGTGGCATCTTTTGTTGTTCTTTGTTACGACTTGAATTATAAGATTGGTTGTTGTCAGTTACTAAGAACAAAATTTTACATGCTCAGAGCAATTTGTTCTAGCGTCTCTTCTCTCTGCCTGTACAAAAAAGCCTTCTATGACATATCATCAGGTACTGATGACTTGAAAATTTTGCTTACAAAAATGAGGTTTATATATATAGAGAGAAGGTTTATAGAGAGAGAGAATCTGTCTCCTGAGCTATACAGATAAAAGGGTTTATTTTGTGTTTAACTTAAAATACCTTGTCATGTCAGGCAAAAAAGCTCCCATCTTGTTTAAGAAAGATATGATTGAATCAATGAAGGAAGGTTCCGTTGTTGTGGATTTAGCAGCAGAATCGGGGGGAAACATTGAGACTACAAAGCCTGGAGAAATGTATGTTCATAAGGTGAGCATTTTAATCTGCAGATTGTTCTCAGTTTGTGTGAATTCACATTGTGTTTTGTAAACTGTATGCTGAAAATGAGTACCTGATTTCACTATTGGGGCTTAAGTAATCCTTACGTACCTCAACCACTTGTAAGCCAAACTAGGGTTCATTATCACTATCTGTTCATTAAAATAAGCAATTTTGCTCTGGACTGAACTTACTACTTTGGTTTTGCTCCAGTGTTCATTGGCTCGCTAGAGAGCCTGTATTTCATGCTTTCTGGGTTTTATTTTTGGTACTTGTGAGGAATCTACTAGTAGTTACAGAAATTTGGGTGATGAGATTTAAAGTAGCAGGTTTCCAAGGTTGTTTATTTGGTGATGTCAGGACATAATGGTGTTATTAGGGAAGCTTGTAGGACATACTGTTGCCATGGTTATTAATATTAGCAGGGCTGTGTGTGTATGAGTCATGCACTGTATTTGGCTTTGTGGTTTCCTAGGGCTTTTGATGTCATTGCTTAAAAAATTAGAGTATGTAGAACACAAGTAATAAGATACTTGCATGAAGAATTTATATGGGACACTTTTAGTCAGAGGAGTATTACCCCTGGATATAGTGTGCTGGCACTGACCTGTGGAAAAAAAGCAACAGTGCAGAGGTATTATCAGTGTGCCATAGCATTGTATTGTGAAGCCAGGATTCCTGGAATCATTCATGGATCTTGGCTCTCAGCTGTGGGAGCAGTGTTTTAACTCAAGCCTGCTTGTATGCGCATGCCAGCCTCAGCTTCCCGTACGTTCCAAGACCCTGATAACCAAATATACTCAAATTTCTTCTTTAAACAGTAGGGACGTATTATATTACCTCTTTACATAAATGTGAACCCATTAGGCATGTTACTTGCACAGCTAGCTAGGTCTAAGGAAGTTTCCTCACTGTCATATGGAAAGTTGCCTTCAGTGCATGCCCTCAAGAACAACTGAGAAGGTGCCAAGCATTGGGCAGAATAACCTGTTACCTGATGCTTTAAGAAGTTAATCTGAGAGAATGGCAGGATTTGGAGAGGACAAGCTCTTTCGCCAATATATCTTACTCTCTGTGTAGGCTTGCTGCTAATAGTATTTAAGTTATTGGATTTGATCATGTTGGATACTGTAATTGTTGTGAGTAATCCTTCCCCCAACATAATAATGTTAGAGCTGCAGGTAACAGTTTTATCTGGGGTTAAAACCAGAAATGAGTGAAACAGTTTGGATATATATTTCTAGGAGCATATATAGGAATAAGAGAGGGACTTTTTAAAAGGGGATGTAGCATTAGGTCAAAGGGAAATGGCTTTCAGCTGAAAGAGAGTAGATTTAGATTAGACACTAGGAAGAAATTGTACACTCTGAAAGTGGTGAGACACTAGAAGAGATTGCCAGAGAAGCTGTGGCTGCACCATCCCTGGCACTATTCAAGGCGAGGTCAGATGGGGCTTTGAGCAACCTGGTCTAATGGAAGGTGCCCCTGCCTGTGGCAGTGGGGTTGGAACTAGATGGATCTTTAAAGTTTCTTTCCAATCCAAACAATTCTGTAATTCTATAATTCTTCAGAGATTGTACTAATCCTTAGTATTTTGTTTAAATTTTTTTTTCAGGGCGTTACACACATTGGCTATACAGACCTGCCCAGCAGGATGGCTACTCAGGCCAGTACTCTGTATTCCAATAATATTGTCAAACTCCTAAAGGCTATTAGTCCTGACAAAGAGAACTTCTACTTTGATCCGAAAGATGATTTTGATTATGGGACTCTGGATCATGTTATTAGAGGAACTGTAGTAATGAAGGTAAGTCAGTAAATATTCTTTTCTTAATTGGTGAGTGTATATATTTATCAGTGTTGCCTCTTTAAAATAATTCAAAGATACTCCGTGTGAACGGACTTCAGATATGGCTTCATGGGTAGTGTGGGCAATATGTTTGTATTCAGCTGAATATGTCCATTTTTGTGAAGGGAAAGCTCTTTGCTTCTGTCTTCTTGTCATGGTTAAACAAGCATCTAATGTCTACTATTGAAAAATAGGAAAAAGATTCAATTTGCATGTTGTATTCATATGATAAAAGCATAGTTATTTAAAACATGTTTGAAACATTACTGCAAGATCAGAAAATACTCCTTTTTTTGTTTTTGTTTTTAATAAATACATGTCTCTGTTCTTATAAAAGTAACTTCAGAAAAAAATGGTGGAATTGAATGTGCAGGATACTCTTTGTTAGGAAATATGAAAATACAGACTTTAGTCATGGACCAGTATAGGCTCTCCTCCTGAAACTATTAGGAATAATAACTTGCGGTTTAGGTAAGAGGTATTTCCTTCTGCTGAGTTTTGCTGCATAGTGTTTCCAGCATTTTGTAATGCTTATGATACCTGGAGGAGGATTGCATTGACCTCTGCTCTCCAAGGCCACTGAAGTGGTGTGTACCGCTCAGGTCTGGAAGTTTTTCCTCCAGAGGTGTGGAGAACAGCAAGAAATGTGAGAGGGTATACTTGGTTCCTAGCTGTGGTCTTGGCAGGCTCTGATTACTATTCAGATCTGTAGTAGATTTTGCTATTTCCAAGACCCTGTTTTGTTTTGCATAAATGTTTTCCATTTAAGGAACTTGACCACTTTGGTTTCTGCTTTCAAGCCTTATATTGTGATTCCACCAGGTGCTCTTGGACACTAATATTAAATCATGTCTGAAAAATACGTAAATCAGTAAGGTTAACTTGGTCAGGCTGTACTGATCATCTAACCTTGCAAAATTTTGCAAATGCAGAAAAAGAAGATATTCCTGTGGCATGCCTGTAGGATGTTAAGACTTAATTGAGTTGCAGGATTAAGAAGAGGAGGTTCCTCTAACTGTAAAGCATCTACCATGTTAGTGATGACTGTAAATACCTCTTGTCAGGATGGCAAGGTGATTTTCCCTGCACCTCCGCCAAATAACATTCCTCAAGGAGCCCCTGTGAAGCAGAAGACTGTAGCAGAGCTGGAAGCTGAAAAAGCAGCTACTATTACACCTTTTAGAAAAACTGTGACTACTGCATCTATATACACAGCAGGTAGGCACCATCCAGATTTGGAGAATCAGTGTATAGTGCTCCTTATTTGGCAAATACTTTTAAGACTCCTCATCTTACTTATTCAATTTAGTAACTATTTGGGAGAGCAGGTGATTGGCTGTTCTACTCTAGTGCAAAATCAGTGTATTAGAATAACTGCTTTGGGGAGGGGAAATAAAATTTTATAACTTTAACTAAAAGTATCGACATTTCAAACAGTGATGACTCATGCTCTGTGCATGTATGTGTTTGGTTTTATTTAAATATCAGTAAAATACTTAAAATCCTGAAGGACTCCTGCTAGGACTGTGTCCATACTTTGCAGCAGAACCAATTCAATGCCATTGCTTTCTTAAATTTTAATGTAGTGTATGAGTTAATTTGCCCACAATCTACTGAAGTACTGAGAATATGACATTTGTCATATATATTGTAATAATAATATATATTGTCATAGATATTGTTTGCTCTTGGCATTTGGTATTCTGTATGTACCAGGAATTCTGCATGAGGTAATCGATGAATTGCGTATTCTTTATTTTTACGTCTGTTCTTCATATGCGTGGTTTGAGTCTTCATAATAGTATTTCAACATGATTGTCACTCTTCTATATTTTTGCTCTAGAACAGGGAGGTGATAGGATTCAGTGTTGCTATAGAAACATATCATTGCTACTTTGTGGGCATGCATAGCAAAGATGTATATGTTGTGTTTATGATTTTGTTTTCTATTGTAAAAGAAACACTAGCACCAAAGAGCCTTGTAGTCAACAAAAATAACACAGCTGATCTTGAAATAAGTCCCTGCACAAGACTCCTTTTTGCTTTTACCTCATATCGGGGAATCCTGATGTACAGAGGTTAAATGTAAGAAAACAGTGAAAACTATAAAAACACTTTGCTGTTCTTTCTTCTAGGTTTGGCCAGCATGTTAGGGCTGGGCATTGTAGCACCTACTTCTGCTTTCACGCAAATGGTGACAACATTTGGCCTAGCTGGAATCGTGGGGTACCATACAGTGTGGGGTGTGACTCCTGCTCTTCACTCTCCACTCATGTCAGTGACTAATGCTATCTCAGGTGAGTAGCTGTCACACAACTGCTTGTTCTCTGTTTGGAGTAGGCACAGCTTCTTTTATTTGAACTTCATACGAAAGTCTGCTGATAAATAAATAGCAAGGACACCTGAAACAAACTCTTTATGGGAATGTGATGTTTCAAAAGAAGGACAAATATGGTGCTGTGTGTTTTTAATTTTTATAACTGATTTTTCCCTTTTAATCCGTTTGCTTTAAAATTTGCTTTACTTGGAATACTGCAGTCTCTCCTTTCATAAAACGTATCCTCCCATCTCTCCAAAATGTTGCCCTGAAAATACTTGTCTTTCATTCCTACATTCTTTTTTCCTCTCCTCAAACTATGTGTTTCGAGAGAGAGGAAAGAGTTCCTAAGTGACTTGTAAGGCTCATAACTCTGTCAGATGTAACATACTGTGTTTGTATATATGTATGACAGGTCATAATTCTGACACATTTTGACTGTTAAAAGCGAAGTTTCTTTTATTGAACAAGCAATTGGAGGCTGACTCTGTGTTTAAGGCACTGTACTTCAAAACTATATTCATATAATAATTTTTTTGTTTGTTTGTTTTTCTTTTTAAACAAACAAAAGGGCTGCTTAGTCTGACTAGGACTGAAAAGTCTTTGTTTAAATAGTAGTGTGTACAGCAGGGGTCAAAATTTGAGTTGACTGGTATCTGTTGACAGCTGAAAGGAGACTTGCTACAGCTATAGAGCCTTTTCAGGATCAGTAATGCTTTTTCCTCTTTTAAATAGGACTAACTGCAGTTGGTGGGCTGGTAGTGATGGGAGGACACTATTTCCCTGAAAATGCTCCTCAAAGTCTTGCAGTGCTTTCGGCCTTTATCTCTTCAGTCAATATTGCAGGTATGAAAGTCTTTCTCCTGAGGGTAACATTAAAGCACTTGTCTAATTCTTCTATTTCTTCTAGGTCTTTAATTATATAGATTCCAGAAGTAGAATTCTGGAAATTGGGTAGAAGTTACTCAGTCTGGTTTGCACACCCTGTTGTGTAAACCTTCTCTAGGGAAACATTTAAATGTGCCTTTTTCTTTTACAGTATCCTTTTGGTGATGATTATATAAAATATCTTTTCCTGTATATCTTGGGATATAAATTTGTCCTTGTATTCCTTTTTTCTACTTGAAAAAATATACTAGTGTCATAGAACAAAATTCTGCTTGCTTGAGCTGCAGAAGCCCAAGCTTCACAAATAAAAAAGGAAGTGAGAAATGTGTCTTATAGATACAGCTTTTTCCTAGAGTAGATAGGGAAATGGCACAGTCATAAACTAAGCTGCATCCTACAGTCAGAGTATAGAGCCAGAGCACATCCTTCATGTGTTCCAACTTGTCCTTTTATGAATTTCTTCTGAAGGTTAAAAAAGACAACAGGATCTCACACTGATTACATATTTGTTTCCTGGTGGTTTTCCAGATTAATAGCTTTTCAGGGGCTTTGTTGGTGTCAGTTGTTAACTTTGTGTGGTAATAATGATTTAACCAAATATTTCTCTTACAGCTTGGCATATGTTTCGTTTCAGATTTTATTTTTGTAAAATTGTTCCTTTGCTTTGGCCAGGTGGGTTTCTAGTTACACAGAGAATGCTGGATATGTTCAAACGTCCCACAGATCCCCCTGAATACAACTACTTGTACCTACTTCCTGGTGGTGTGTTTGTAGGAGGCTATGCAGCTGCTCTTAGTGGTGGCTATCACATTGAACAGGTAAGGAGGTAACTTTGTGGCTCTTAGCCAACTGTTCACAGCGTGGTATCTTTCTTCACTGTTTACTCTGAGGAATAAACTGCAAATTAGCTGTGGTCTTTTCATTAGCTATGTATTCCCACAAGGCGAGTCTGAAGTTGATTAACATGAAGTTTGCAATCCTACCCCAAATGCCGAATCTGAAAATTTTAAAAGCTGTTCTTTTTTTTCCTTTCCCTTCCTGCAAAGCAGCAGGTACTTTGTTACTTATTGGACAGTTTTCCTAAATTACAGCTTAAGTATTAGAGGAACTCCAGAAACCAGTCTTTGATTTAAATGTTTCTGAAAATTCAGCTTGGCATGACAATTGAAGTAGATGTGACATCTGGATGGGATGAGATTTCAGCACAAAGAGATATACAGGGATTGTACCTGTAAATGAGCATCTTTTATGGCAATTTTTTTTTTGTTTCATTTTAAAAGGAAAAAAAAACCAATCTGTATTGCCTTCTGTGGTTGAAAAAGGTGAATGCAAACATACCTCTATGCCAGAGGCTTGTAATAGATTTGATTTTTTTTTTTCAGTTATCTAGACATGTACTGCTCAGTTCATTTAAGTTTGTTCATACATAAAAGATAGGAGTTCAGATGTTCCATAGGCAAATTCTGAAACTATCGCTGTAATGAACAGGACCATTTAGTTTCAGGTTTGTACTAAAGAAAAATTTCCTTATGAACTGATGAGGGAAAAGGGCTTGACTCAAGTTTAGTATTCACAGATAAACCAAGATTGGCCAAAATCACATCCTGTGCAACAGTTTCTCAGAGTCAGAAGAGTTTTGGCTTCAGTTAAGAGCAGTAACTTGCATAAATTCTGGAGAAATCAGCCCTTCTATGTAATATTCAGAAAGATTTTTATAATGATTATTCAGTTTATCTTTGATTCATATATGCATACTGATGTTTTTCTTATTTTAAAGATGATGTATTTAGGCTCAGGCTTATGCTGTGTTGGTGCCCTGGCTGGTCTGTCCACACAAGGAACAGCTCGTCTTGGAAATGCTTTGGGTATGATTGGTGTTGCAGGAGGCTTAGCAGCAACTCTTGGATGCCTTAAACCCTCACCTGAATTGCTGGCACAGATGTCAGGTGCACTGGCACTTGGTGGTACCATAGGTATGTGTATGATACTATAACCGAACAATATTTGCTCTATGCATAGATTTATGCAGGCTGTGTATACACAAAATACTTTATAGCTCATAGGTGAATTGACTAAAATATATGGCTTGCGTATGTTACTTTGCAAATACATGAACAAAAAGTCACAGGGCTTTTATTCGTGTATCAGGGTAACATAAAGAATAAGGAGAGTGGTGGAAAAGGAGGAGCAATATTTAATGAAGCTTCGAAGAATATAATAAGCTTTAATCTTTTAATTTCCATTATAACTTCATTGCATAAAATACACAAATGCATCTTCCACTTAAATGCTATAGCAATTCTCAGTGTACAACAAATTCTTCCATTGGAATAGGCATGTGTGTGCATTTATTCAGTGCACACTGAACTATGATACATTAATTTCCATCTGCACAGATTGATTGTGTTTTGTAAGACTTCCCTCTGTTTCCAACTTTTAATAGGTTTAACGATTGCTAAACGCATCCAGATTACAGATCTGCCTCAGCTAGTGGCTGCTTTCCATAGTTTGGTTGGTTTGGCTGCGGTGCTCACCTGTATTGCCGAATACATGATTGAATATCCTCACTTCGCTGCTGATCCAGCTGCAAACCTCACCAGGATTGTGGCATACCTTGGCACGTACATTGGTGGAGTGACTTTCAGTGGCTCTCTTGTTGCTTATGGAAAACTGCAAGGTGAGACCTTCCATTCAGAATTAAGTATTTGTGACAGGCTTTTTTTTTACCCCTAGGGTTTATCTTTGCCTTTAGACTGCTATGTAATTGGAAGGAAACTTAGTATTTTGCATCAGGTAAAACTTTGTTTAATTATATGAATTCATTCATCCCCCTTTAAAATTGTATTTAAACTGTGTACAGCTTTAGTTATGAAAAAATTGTCTTCAGTGCTTGGACATACTACTGCTAATAATTACTAAGTCACGTAAAGGTCCCTCAATTCATCTTATCTAGAAGTAAGTGTTGCTTTAGTGTTAAGACACTACCTGACACTGTTTCTCTAATTGGTTTTATTGAACTTTTATGTTCACAACTTTGTATTCCTGAGCAGACATTTTGATTGAAATCTTTGTGTTGCTGGACTCCAGGAGCACTGTCAGTATTTATAGGATTTTGTTCTCAGCAGTACAGGCTTCATTTAGGTAGGTCATTGCAGGCTTCACTTAGGTCATTGCAGGCTTCATTTAGGTAGGTCATAGCAGGCTTCATTCAGGTAGGTAGCTTGCAATATGAGCTGAGACTGCTTCACTTGAAACCATTCAGTTCACTGTTCACCTACTGTGCAAACTCCATGCATCTTTCTGTTTTAGTAAATATGCCTTCTAAATTAAATACTAATTCCTGATTCTTATGCACCTGAAGGTTCTTTATTGTGTTTATTTTTGGTTTTGTAAGCACACAGATTTTGAGAGACTGAGGTAATACCTGTACTAAGAAGTTGCACCTAAGAGCTTCCTGTTACTAATCCTGTTACTAGCTTTGCAGTAGTTCCTTTAGGAAACATCTGTTTGCTTTCTTCAGTGTTTATGAGACCAGCCATTGAAGGAGGAAGCATGACATGGATGGAAAGCTGTCTTCTCTAATAATCTTTTGAAGGATTTGTCAGTAGTATGTATTTATGATGTATTTCTGCTAAGTGGTTACTCATGTATTTCTTCTTGGTTATTTTTTTTATCTTCTCCATCTTACCTCCCTCCATCCACTCAGTGATTTGTGCGCATGTCCCTGGTGAACCTCCTGGCCTGTTTCAGCCCACTCTCCTGTTTCTCGTTTTGTTTTTGTGGGGTTTTGTTTGGTTTGGTTTGTTGTTGGGTGGGGTATTTTGTTTGTGTTTTCTTTTCCTTTCCCCCTTTCCCTTATTTTTAATCCCACTTTGACTCCTAGTCCTGAGACGATCAGTTCATTCTTCCCCTTTAGTTCGGCTAATTATAAATGAGAACTTGGTAAGTAATTACTTACACCAAAAGTAACAGATGAACTTGCATTATTTTTACTCATTGCCATGTTGTTTGGGGTGAAAAAAAAAAAAAAGCCTAGGGTGAAAATAAATTCACATAAATACCAAACCCTCTTTGCCAGTATGAAAAGCTGTAAGAATTCTGTGTGACTGAGGGTACTTTTGAAAGCATTTGAAAGCAGGACTGTTTTATATTTGGGATTATCTGTGTGGTCATATTTTTCTAAGCACACAGCTTTTGAGAGGCTGATGTAATGCCTGTACTAAGAAGTTCCAGCTAAAACTTTGTATTGCAGAGCATCATACGTAACATGCAAAAACCCAGGGCCAGAATAAAAATATGGGTTGTTTTGATTTGGTTTGGGGTTTGTTTTGTTCTGTTTTGTTTGCTTTTTTTTTTTTTTGAGTTTGTTTGGTTTTTCTTTTCCCTGGTTTGTTTGTTTGGTTATTTGTTTTTTCTGTTTTTTTTTTGGGTGGTTATTCTGAAGGATTTCAGTGAAATTAGGAATTAAAAAGAGTTTGGGCAGGAGTATTTGAGAATCTCAGCTTTGACCAACTTGTTTTGTTTTCTGCTCCTCCCTTTTTCTTTTTTTAATTTTTCTTTAGCTGAGGTATTTGGTTTTCTCTGAAGGCAAGAGACAGGCTCACCAGCACACATGTATCAATCTCTGAATATGCATTTGATTGCAGGTATCCTGAATTCTGCACCACTGCTCTTGCCTGGTCGTCATGTATTGAATGCAGGATTGTTGGCTGCCAGTGCTGGTGCAATGATTCCATACATGATTGATCCTAGTTACACTACGGGAATGACTTGCTTAGGTTCCGTGTCAGTTCTCTCAGCCATAATGGTAAGTCAGGGTGTTTTAAGAGGTGAAACAAATTAAAAATGGTTTTTGTTCTTTGACTTTGCTCGATTCCTCTTAATTGTTGCATTTTACAGGCTGAGTCGCAGTCATCATAGTGCCTGTATGCTAACTTGCAGTAGGAAGTAGCAACTGACTGTCCTAAATCTAGCAGTAAATTAGAACTGTTCCAGAGAACAGGCATGTGCATATAGGATTGTTTTTTGCAGCTATGACTTAATGGAGCCTTTTATATGACAAACTTCTTTTAAAATACTTACTGGAAAGTTTATCCTTAAAATAAAGAGTGCTGGGTCTACTGGTTATCATAACTTAGTAAGATTATGAGTAACTTTCCCCCTTCTACTCACACTGGCTGTTGCAAAATTTACCTCAAGTATTACCATTGTGTAAACCAAGTCTTGCAAAGACTCCTCAGTACAAATCTTTAATGTTATGAACAGTTTCACAGAGCTGGTAGGATATTTTTTTGAGTAAAAATATGTGGCTAAGCACAGGGTGAGGACAGTCGAGTGCCTTTATGTCCACTCTCAAAGGCAGAATCAGTAAGTTCAATTCTCAGGCTACAGCTTAGTATCTCCTACATTGAGAAGACTTGAATAGGTTAGTAACTTAGTATTTATTTTTTCAGTGCTAGAGGTAGGTTGTCTTCTGTGCATGGTCTCCTTAGTTATAGCTTGTACTGAAGCATTTTCTTTCCTTTTCCAGGGTGTCACTTTAACAGCAGCTATTGGAGGCGCTGACATGCCTGTAGTTATTACTGTCCTCAACAGTTATTCTGGATGGGCTTTGTGTGCTGAGGGCTTCCTACTGAACAACAACTTGCTGACCATTGTTGGTGCACTCATTGGCTCTTCTGGTGCCATCCTCTCTTACATCATGTGTGTGGTAAGAAGTAGCAGAAATACAGTTTTTGTCCAAGTAATAAAAAACTGTATTCAGCATGTTTGCTAGGCAGATAAACAATTGGAAGACCAAACTGCTAGGTGTTTACAGACTAGATTGAAACTGTTGGACTAGTTGCCAGTCATCTCTATGGTTTCGAGAGATATGTACTTCAAAATTGCAGAAAGCCTTTATTTGATTTGTGCATTGAGTTTTGGGATCTGGACTCAAGTTTAATTCCTTGTGCTTAGGTGTTTTTTTAGACATACCAGTCTATCACACTCATGTTTACTTTTCATTTAAGCTAGATGAAAAATCTATCGTCAAGAGATACTGTAAGTAGGAAGTTCCTTTAGAATAAAAAAAAGAAGGTTGGTTTGGTAGGACGTAATGGAAAGTTAGATTTTTGGAGTGTGGGAGAGTGTGCTACTCTCTTCAAAGCAGGTACTCTGAAGTACCACGGGGTGGCAGCAGGCTTGCATTAATGTAGTGCTGGTAGTAATGTCTGTTGGAGCAAACTCGAGCTTCAATGCAACCCTGTGTGTAGATCATACTGCATTATTATTAATGGCCTCTTTTTCTGTGAAACATTTGTGCATAAGTATTTTGTTTTCCTGTGTGTGTCTCCTTTTTCTTTTCAAAGATGGAGAGATAATGACTTAAAAAATAACACCTATTCACAGCTACCAGCCTGTTGATTATCTGTTGGTAATTCTGTTTCACTTCTGCTGTTGTCTTCTTGTATGATCAGTATCACTTTTCTCCTGTCCTAATGTTTTCCTGCTCTGGCTATCTTTTTGTATTTCATACCTGCTGATAAATAGTGTCGTTACCATGTTAGGAATCACTCATTTTTATCTCTCTTGAGGACCGATTTCAGAAAAGCTTAAAAAAGTTTTTTTGTGCAGCTTTGTGGGGGTGAGTTCAAGTGAACAATCCCAGGTGTGAATTTTAAAGAATTTTGTTCGTTCTTGAACATTTTGTATCTCCTTATCAAAAGAAAATCTGATTATGTGGTTCATGGGTTTATGTATTTAGGTATAAATGTATATATTCATATATATTTGTATACAGGCAGCAATTTAGTCCATATCAGCAGAAAATGATGCTTATGGGCAACACAGGAATGAAAAGTGTGTTCTTTAAAGATCAAATCCTTGTAAGTCTTGGTGTAAATATAATCTGTTGGGTATGTATTTACATAGGCATAATACCTCTATAGCTTCATTTTTTTTTTTTTTACTGTCCCTGCCTGTTTTTTTTATTCGTTTTATTGCTACCTCCTCTCTGCACTCACAAGAGAGTTTTGAGATGCTGCATTTGTTGTGTGGAGGAATCCAGGTAAATAGGAGTCCTGAGGAAGTAATTAGCAAAGCAGTTGTGCTGTGACAAAGTGTCTTTCCTCTATGAATTTCTTAAATTTCAGTGAGTTTAGTGTTTGAGATAGGATTCTAGAAATTTTGTGCTGCTTTACATAAAGTTTAGACAAAGTTCATCAGCCAGTAAAATACCTAATATTTTGTACAATTTCTGCATAATAAGCAGAATAACTTGTTTCTAGCCCAGGATTTTTCTTCTTTACTTGTTTTAATGGAAATTGTTACTTTTAAAAGTATTGTTGTAATTAGGGGATTCAGTATCATTGTCTTCAAGCTGAATTTTGGGAGAAAAACTGCTCAAGAGTTTCAATAAACTCTGATTGAGTTGTTGTTGTAACCTGTGCTAATGTAGCAACAGTTTTATACTCTCTTTTTTTTTTTTTTTTAACTTCTTCCCTCTTCTAGTATGACTTCCATCTAAAGCAGAGTGTTTGTTGAAGCTTATTTAGTACAGATGAGAAGGTGTTTTTTTGAAACATCTTACTGGTTGAAACCTTCTTTTTACATTTCCAATTACTTTTTGTGATAAAACGGTAGTTTAATCATCCAAAACCTATACAGAAAATCTCTTAAAGCTGGAGTTGATAAAATTGGCCAACAGATGTTCAGATAACCACATGCACTTGTATGTACTTGATTTTATACCTGTCCCTCTTCTGTGCCTATTAGTTGGATGAGTTAAGGACAGAGAATTTAACTTCAAAACAAAAAAAAACCAAAGGCCTGTAGCTTTCAGTTGTCCTGTGAATTGCGACTTCTCTTAAAACAGTCACACAACACTTGATTGTATTAGCATGTCCTTCTCTCCCTTTTTTTTTTGCCCCAGGAGAATACTTGATGATCACAAGTGTGGTACTAGAATTGGCACACTTGGGGATTGGGAAAATGCTTCAGGTTGAAGAGGAACCATTAACTGGGGTGATGGAACAGCAAGAGAAGGAACAGATTGCATTAGTCTTATAAATAGTATGATGGTGCATCACCTGAACTACCTGCGTGGTTTCTGTGGGCACAGTGGAAGGACTTGGAGTTCTCAGGGATTGTTTGCTTTTGCCTGGGCTGTAAGTTCCTGGCCAGCACCACCTGTGTATGTACAGCAGAGAGGTCTTTTAGCTACTGGTTAGATTATCTGTGAGTGGTGAAGCCTGCACTTTGTTGTGTTTGTGGTCTGTGGTGGTATAGAAGATGAAAGAGGCTGTAGAAGAGTTTCCTTGTGCTGAGGGGGTCTTAGCTGCATTGTTTAATTGCTGCTTGTTGAGGTCTTGGCTTATTTTGAAGTCTTCTGGACCAGTCCCTTCTCTTCTTCTTTTTTTTTTTTTTCCCCCCCCCCCCCCCCACTTCCTGATTCCTCAGCTCTTTGGTGTGGATCCAGGCAAGGGTGCTTCAGTCTCATGCTTGCTGTTTGTGGATTCTCAGATTTCTAATATTTGAACCATTTTTCCTTTGGCCTGGTCTTACTGTTGCCTTTTGGTTTAGATACATGTAGAAAGTGCTTTGCTTCATGTAAAGTTAGTGTGCGCAATATCTGAAGAGGGTATTCTTCTGTCTAGGTAGTCTTACCTGACTCAACTGTTGTAATATACTAAGTAGTCTGTTCTTCTGTTTGATAGTTTGATACTGTGATACTTGTCAAAGGCAGTGTGTTCTTAGAGGATACGAACTACTGCCTGCTGCAGCCAGTAGAAAGATGCTGATTTCACCAAATTTGTGAGCCTGCCTTGCAGTATCTGAAACTGGTGATGAATCAGGACATCTCCTAACACCTTTGTTGTACTTATTTGCTGGATGGTGAATTTCACAGGATGGCATATCTTCTCGGGCTATAGCAAAAAAAAAAAAGTGGAATTGCATGGTTTGTAAAGTTGGTGGAAAATGGACACTTGGAAGCATAGTTTTGTGTGGGTGTTTCCTTTTGCTTGTATGTGTGCCTCTCCAGATCAATTCTTAAATTTTGCTGTGGTTTCTGAGCTAACACAGCAGATGTATGACACACATGTTTAATTAAAGAAGCAATTTATCCTGTTCCTTTCCTGCTTCCAAAGTTTTGTTTACTGCAATTACAAGTTTTGCCTGCTTCCAGATATTGACAGATACTGGTTTGGGACCATACTCACAAGGAAACATGCCACTGAAAGCATTTAGCCAGTGGCTTTTCCTGGCTAATTTTCAGGAGCCATATTTTCAGGATGTGTTCTTTTAAAGCTCCTATTTAAGATCTCTTGTTCCCCTTTGGTGCTCAGCCAGTAAGTTAATGGTCCTTTTTAGTTTATTATGATTTGAGTTAGCATTTGGTTAATTTTGTGTAGCTACTTGGCTTTGTTGTGTTTTTCCTGCCTTGATGCTGTAGGAGCTTTGCTTCTGTACTCTCTAAGAGCTACGCAGTTTCCATGCTGTCCTGTAGCAGTTCTGTAGCTGTTCTATGCTTACGTGTTGAATTGCTCAAGAACTTAAGAAAATGTCTTGCAAAAATAGTGTGTATGTATGTAAAAATAAACCTGACATCAAACATGCATTCTTCTGTATTTCTCTCTTTTGAGAACAAAAAGAGACCAATATTTGCTATTTGTGTTGTTCTGTTCTTGTCTTAGGGAAATACTGATGCTCTTCCATTACATGTAATGTGTTAGAAGCTGATGTTGGACTACTGTTGTGTTAATCTGTGTCTCTGTTTTAAGAAGCATGTTTTAAGAAATTTTGAGTTGTAAGCAGGCAAAATCATCGGAGAAATACTATTGTCAGGGAGGCTTTAATAGCTTCAGAAGTTTTCTTTGTGGACATTCCTCCTTTATTTTTGGATTTCGTCTTTACCTGATGAAAGCTGTCTTATCTTTCAGGCTATGAACCGTTCCCTTGCAAATGTGATTCTAGGGGGCTATGGCACCACATCAACAGCTGGTGGGAAGCCCATGGAAATTACTGGAATCCACACAGAAATCAATGTGGACAATGCAGTTGAAATTATAAAAGAAGCCAATAATATTATTATTACTCCAGGTAAGACATTCTTGACTCATTCAGTAAGATGCTCAGAGGATATATTGTTTAAAAAGCACTTTCATAAACCTAAAAAACCAAACCCAAACCCAAAAGAAAACAAACCCCAACCAATGAACAAAAACAAACAGCCCATCTGAAAAAAAACACGGTAGCCCACCTTGCAGTTGGAACATAGCAGTAACAGGGCAAATGTTGCCTGGGTTTGTGGTATATGTTTTTGTTCCCAGGTTGTCGTTCCTTTGTGTAGACATGTGTATGACACTTTCTTTTTCCTTGTGTATGTCTCTTCAAAATTTGTGCTATATATTTAGGCTTTAATTTTTTTCAGGACAAAGACTGTCCTTTTTACATTATATTTACAGTTGATTTTTTTCTACAGCTGTTGTGGTGTGGGTTTACAAGCACTACCACAATACCAGTGGTACCAATAACAGAATATCTGTCAAGTTACTGAAAGGGGATTTTGTTTATACTTCTCATCTACTTGCTCAAGTCTGGATTGTACTGTTAAAAAAAAAAAAGGCAGATGAACATCTGAAACTTTGTTAACATGTAATAAATACTGGAATTAAAGTGGAAAGAAACCTGAAAACTAAAACCCTGAGTTGTCTGAAACTATTATGTTGGCTGTAGGCTCATATGGTTCAATAGTACCTTTCCTGTTAGAAGAGGCCAGGTAGGGAATAGCTCAATACTTGTTTTCCTTCAGCTGAATGGCACAAGTAGTGTGTTAAATTTATTTTAGCATTTGAATGCAAAGAATGATAAACAAAGTCATCTTTCATTTTGCTTCAGCTTAAATGAAAACATCAGTGGGGTAGGGTTCTGATTTGGGAAGTCATCTTTGTTTCCAAGAAAGCTTGCAAACATTTTCAAGGAGTTTGTGGCTGAAGGAGAGAAGCCAGAGAGTTGTAGTCTATGGGCGGAGTCTAGTTGGAGGCCTGTATCTAGTGGAGTGCCTCAAGGGTCAGTACGGGGACCAGTATTATTTAATATATTCATCAATGATTTAGATGAGGGAATTGAGTGTACTATCAGCAAGTTTGCTGATGACACTAAGCTGGGAGGGGTGGCCGACACACCAGAAGGCTGTGCTGCCGTCCAGCGAGGCCTGGACAGGCTGGAGAGTTGGGCAGGGAATAACTTGATGAAATATAACAAGGGAAAGTGTAGAGTCCTGCATCTGGGCAGGAACAACCCCAGGTTCCAGTATAGGTTGGGGAATGACCTGCTAGAGAGCAGTGCAGGGGTGAGGGACCTGGGGGTCCTAGTGGATGACAGGATGACCATGAGCTGACACTGTGCCCTTGTGGCCAAGAAGGCCAATGGCATCCTGGGTTGTATTAGAAGGGGGGTGGTTAGTAGGTCGAGAGAGGTCCTCCTTTCCCTCTACTCTGCCCTGGTGAGACCTCATCTGGAATATTGTGTCCAGTTCTGGGCCCCTCAGTTTAGGAAGGACAGGGACCTGCTGGAGAGAGTCCAGTGCAGGGCAGCTAAGATGATTAAGGGACTGGAGCATCTCCCTTATGAGGAAAGACTGAGGGAGCTGGGTCTCTATAGTTTGGAGAAGAGGAGATTGAGGGGTGACCTTATTAGTGTATATAAATATATAAAGGGGGAGTGTCACGAGGATGGATCCAGGCTCTTCTCAGTGGCAAACAATGATAGGACAAGGGGCAGTGGGTACAAACTGGAACACAAGAGTTTCCACTTAAACTTGAGAAGAAACTTCTTCTCAGTGAGGGTGACAGAACACTGGAACACGCTGCCCAGGGAGGCTGTGGAGTCTCCTTCTCTGGAGACATTCAAAACCCGCCTGGACACGTTCCTGTGTAACCTTATCTAGGTCTTCCTGCTCTGGCAGGGGGATTGAACTAGATGATCTTTTGAGGTCTATTCCAATCTCTAACATACTGTGATACTGTGACACCGTTAATAATTTCTGCTCTCCATTTTCTTCCTGGGCACTTTTGCTCTGATGATTTGAAGTGTTTGTTTGCTGCTAAAGCAAACCTAGTAGTATGTTGAGCTTAATGGTGGTGAAGTAACCTGATAGTAGCCTCTTTATCAATTTTTCAGTGTACCTGTCTGAAACATCATTTGCTGATAGAAAGAGGAACACATGCTTTTGTGTAGTTGAAATAAGTTACTTGCATAGTTTGCCTGGTCAAAGCACTACACTGTTACTGGTCAGGAGACCAAAAGAAGAGTGGTCAGTGGGAGTACAGTGATCAGGCTGGGAATATATGAGTATCTTGTGTGTGTGTGTACATATACTTTTTTTTTGTTTATTTTTAATTATGGGCGCTTCTCTTTGTGTGGAAGGTACACTTATTGTTTTGAACTATTCTGCCTGCACTGAAACAGAAAAATAGCTTACAACTTGAAAATTCTTCCAGGTTACGGTTTGTGTGCAGCAAAAGCTCAGTATCCCATATCTGATCTGGTGAAAATGTTGAGAGAACAAGGGAAAAATGTAAGGTAGGTACTTTCCTTGAGTATTACAGTTGTTTGTTTGTTTGTTTGTTGTTGTTGTTATTTTGGTTTTGTTTTTTCTTCGTTCCAGAAAAATCCCCTGCAAGTCTTTGTTTTGGTTTAATTTCTCTTCCAGTCGTTATTATGCTGATCGCTCTCTCAGAATACTAGCTAAAAGAATGCTCTAGTTTTACTAAGCTATAGCTGAATATCTAGAAATCTCATACTGAATATAAAAGATTCGTTACTCCCTTATACTTTTCTTAAATTTGGTTTCTGGAAGAAGCCATCATCTGGAGAATTATGTTTGTTTTTTTTCCCAGTTTTGTTTTATTTGGTGTCATGCTGAAGTTCAATTAAAAAAAACAGCTTTAAGATGTAATACGTCTTTATTGAGGCAACAAAGTTTTACTTTTCTGAAAGGTGAGTAAGCTCCTTTGGATACATATGCTCTGCCTCTGGATATAGTAGCATTTTGCTACACAACAAGCACTGGAGTTATTTGTAAAATAAAACTTTAATATAATTCTGCATTGTGTTCAAAAGTTAGCATTTTCTACAGATGGGGAGGTTGGAGAGCTCTGTGAACGCAACCACTCTGTGGGAATACATAACTGTGAGGAGTAATCACAACAGCTGAAATCAGTGCAGGGAGAATAGCTTTTATGTTTGTAGTCAATAGGGAGACAGTACAGGCCTAAAGTAAGTGCTTTGAATGCCCTTGTAGAGAAACCTCCATTGAAGAGGATTGTTTATTATCCTGAAAATACCCTTTTTTTTTTTTTTTTTTTTTTAAGTCCTGATTCCTTAAGGAAATGGACCTCTCTGCTGGGAATGGTTAAAGGAGTGTAATAGGAATAGTTAAGGATAGTAGGCAGGAAAGGAGAGCTTTCTACAGTATGGAAGAAGTTTTTGCTGGAGTCAGTCTCATATGAAGTGGAAGAGTAGATGAGGTAGCAGTCTCTGCACAAAAAATGTGGGACTTACTTATTTCCTGGGATAAGAGAAAGGAGACAGTGAATATTGGAAGGTCTGAGGATGTAAACTTCTGTTACCATTTTAATGTAATCTCTATTCCGTTAAGCAACTTAACTTACTGGATTCTCATAAATTTTTGCTATTGCAAGCAACACTGTATTAGAGTTCTTTGAGTATTGCATGGAAGGATAACTGGAGTGCATATGGCCAAACCCATGTTTTTATTTTGCTGGAGTGCTGATCCAAATAACGGGGTTAATTCTTAGATGCCAGTAATGGCCTGAAGTCCTTTTCATCTTCAATTTTCGATAGACCTTATAGATATTAAAAGTACTGGCAAGCTAGCATCATGCCTCCCTTGCTGTTTGTTTGGGAACAACTATTTTCTAATTATGATAACTGAATATTTTAAAATCAGTCAAGGCTCTCTTTTCATTTGAAACAAGATACTTGGACAAATGCTGGTTAGCCACTCACTCATTGATTTCCATGTGTTTACCTCAATTATATGGTGATTTTCCTTTGAAATCAGTACTCCAACTGTTAGTACTCCAGCATTGCAGTACTCCAGCAATCATTTGTTTTGGTTTTCTTCCACTGTTTTTCCAGGCTTATTGAAAAGTTGCATACAAGTGTTTGAATTGTTTTACAGCATGCATTGGTAATGCATAATGGCAGGGTTGTCATAGGGTTTTTTAGCAATTGTTAGTGTATGCCCATAATGTTATAGTTTTTTCATCTAAAATTGCTTTGTAGATGTATTTGTTCATACATACATGATAAATGAGGAGGTGTTCTGGTGTATTTGCTTCCTGGAGCAGTTCTATTCACATCTATTTCTCCATGTTTAGCAGAAGCTGTAAGTCCAAATTGCATTAAAAATTTTGAAGACCTGTTAGCTGTGCAATGAAGAACCTTTCTTGGCTAATGCAGTGACAGTGTTGTGTGCTTTGGCTTTCCTTTCAGCTCTTCTGTTTTTTTTATCAGCCTTGGTGAAATAAGTAATTACTGGTTTTGCCTTTTATGTTGGCTTTGCAGGGGAGAAATGTGAATGAATCCTTGAAATAACTGGCTTATACTTGAGATGAATCAGTTTAAGGAAGGGATTGCTGCAGTGCTTACCTGGTATTTTAATGAAATAAATCTGTATTTACAGTTTGTGGTAGTTCAGGCCTTTCATCACTTTGGGGAGCTCCCACGGTGTTCATTGAGTGCAGCTGCTGTCCCTCTGGTTTCAGTAGGCCTGGAGTGCCTCGGGACCCTAGTATAGTCACCATCCAGATGCAGTGACACTCTCACACATCCGCTATGGAAGGATGCCAGCATGAACATACGATTGCATCAATTTGTAATGCCCATTCTGTGCCAAGAAAAATTATGTCTGTCATATGGTCTTTTGCTTCGTGGCTCATGATTGATCCAGAGGAGCTGTTGTTTTCATTTACTTTGCTCCATAGCCATAACATTCTCAGTGAAGAGTGCAGATTATATAACATGATGCATAACCTTTGACTGGGGTTTAAATTTAGAAATACAGATAGTTTGGAAACTTCAGACTTTTAAAATGCATAGCTAACATCAATGCTTACTTGAGATGGTCTTGCAGCAGATCACATCTTTAATGCATTAGGAGGATCACATAGAAAGCTGGATACTGCTGACCCTTCATTATAACATTTTGCTGTCATGGATGTGTAAGACAATAAAACTTTTCATAAACTAAATCCTCAAGTCCCCAGAATCTATTGGCCTTGGAGAGCAAATGCCCATTCTACCACTGCTGTTGTATCTCTGCAAAGTTACAACTGCGTAAATTGTTGAAAGTTCTTGTTTTTTGGGCACATGTAGTTTGTAGGCCCCTAGTTGTGAAATTCTGATTTCTTCCATATAATTAAATTATATTCCATAAATCATTAGACTAGGTTGCTCCAGGCCATATCCAACCTGGCCTTGAACCAATTCCAGGAATGGGGCAGCCACAGCTTCTCTGGGCAACCTGTGCCAGTGTTTCACGACCCTCACAGTATAGACTTATTCCTAATATTTAATCTAAATCTCTCTTCTTCCAGTTTAAAGCCATTCCCCTTGTCCTGTCACTACAAGCCCTTGTAAAATGTCTCTCTCCAGGTTTCTTGTAGCCCCTTTAGGTACTGGAAGGCTTCTGTAAGGTGTCCCCAGAGCCTTCTCTTCTCTAGGCTGAACAAGCCCAACTCTCAGCTTTTTGGTCATCTTGTGGTCTCCTCTGATTCCAACAGTTCCATGTCTTTCTGAAGTTAGGTGCCCTGGAGCTGGATGCAGGACTGGAAGTGGGTTGTCACGAGAAGAGAGCAAAGGGGGCAGAATCACCTCCGACCTGCTGGTCATGCTCCTTTTGATACAGCAGAGGGCATGGTTGGCTTTCTGGGCTGCAAGTGCGTGTTGCTATGTCACATTTTGCTTCTTGTCAGCCAACAGCCACAGTCCTCCTCCTCAGGCCTGCTCTCAGTCTATTTTCTGCCCAGCCTGTATTTGTGCTTGGGATTGCCTTAACCCAGATAATTCTATATATAGATATGTAATTACTGTATAGTATTATATACAGTTTAAAACTGTATACATTTCCATATATAAGCAGGTAATCGACATTTTCCCACATCAGATTAACTGTTTTAGCTATTGCCACAGTGTGACTTTCCTAAGACGTTATCTATCCATGTGTTTTGTTTCTTGCATAGTAAGAAATTCTTGTTAAGAAAAATGTATTACAGAGCGAATGGACTCTTAGAATGGTGCTTTTTATAGACTTTCTAAATCTAAGTCATACATAAGTATGGTGGTTTTCTGGTAACTCTCATGGTTGAGAGAAATATTGTCCAAAATATTTGAAAAATCATGGCACTCAGGTGAAGTTCCTGACAACTGGAAAAAGGAAAATACAGCCCCCATTTTCAAGAAGGGGAAAATACATGACCCAGGGAACTACAGACCAGTCAGTCTCACCTCTATGCCTGGAAAAATCATGGAGCAGATGCTTCTGGAAGGCATGCTAAGGCACATGAAAAACAACAAGGTGCTTGGTGACAGCCAGCATGGCTTCACTAAGGGGAAATCCTGCCTGACCAATTTGGTGGCCTCTTATGATGGGGCTACAGAGCTGATGGACATGGGTAGAGCAGTTGATGTCATCTACCTGGACTTGTGCAAAGTGTTCGAACTGTCCCGCATGACATCCTTGTCTGTAAATTGGAGAGACATCAATTTGTTGGATGGACCACTTGGTGGATAAAGAACTGGCTGGATGGCCGCACACGAAGAGTAGTGGTCAATGGTCTCCAGCTGGAGACCAGTAACAAGTGGTATCCCTCAGGGATCGGTGTTGGGACTGGTCTTGGGACCAGTCTTGTTCAACATCTTTGTCAGTGACATGGACAGTGGGATTGAGTGCGCCCTCAGCAAGTTTGCCGATGACACCAAGCTGTGTGGTTCGGTTGATACGCTGGAGGGAAGGAATGCCATCCAGAGGGACCTCGACACGCTTGTGAGGTGGGCTGATGCCAACCTCATGAAGTTTAACCATGCCAAGTGCAAGGTCCTACACCTGGGTCGGAGCAATCCCAGACACAGCTACAGGCTGGGCAGAGAAGAGATTCAGAGCAGCCCTGCGGAGAAGGACTTGGGGGTGCTGGTCGATGAGAAAATGAACATGAGCCAGCAGTGTGCGCTTGCAGCCCAGAAAGCCAACCATATCCTGGGCTGCATCAAAAGGAGTGTGACCAGCAGGTTGAAGGAGGTGATCCTGCCCCTTTATTCTGCTCTCGTGAGACCTCATTTGGAGTATTGTGTGCAGTCCTGGTGTCCTCAACATAAAAAGGACATGGAACTGTTGGAACAAGTCCAGAGGAGGCCCACGAGGATGATCAGGGGACTGGAGCACCTCCTGTATGAAGATCGGCTGAGAAAGTTGGGGCTGTTCAGCCTGGAGAAGAGAAGGCTGCATGGAGACCTCATAGCAGCCTTCCATTATCTGAAGGGGTCCTAAATGAATGCTT